GCCAAGGCTTCAATAAACCTTAGTATACGTCCTTGAAGGCTTTTATACAACACTACAAACGCTGATTTGATGTCAACCTTATGACCAGCTTCAACTAAATGTTTCGCAATGGAAGAAGATGTTTGTCTATCCTGTGATCTTATTTGACCATTGGAATTCATTTGGTTCTGTAGCCATTTAGGTATGTGTTCCGCCACCCTTATTTGCAAATCACGATTGCTCCTCTTTGTGTACGTGTTTCCGCACATACATGTAAATTAGTATACACGATGGGATGTGACACAATCGCTTATGTGCTGTCTAGGTTTTTGGTGAAACATAGACCTTGTCTTTTCAATGATGACAAGTTGAGCTGCATAGAATGTCCTGTTTATGGCTAATTTTAGTCGCCGTCTCAACATTAGACTATTTGAGTCACTCCTAAATGGTAATGTAATACAAACTCACTTTTTGGGTGCCAGAAGCGTCATAAATCTAATCGTATTGCAACCCTTCCAGCGGTTTATGAACTTAAATGAATAACCATTATTCATTAACGTATTAGTTAAAAACTTCGTTTCTACTTCAATAGTATCACTAGAACAAATACGATTGATTCTTTTGAATAAGCCCTTAATTAAACCACGTTTGTAATGAATTGGGCAGTGACTATGGAAATTAGGCTATTGCCCCGTCCATGTCGGCTTTCTATATATAGAACGTTAGTCTTTTGAAATTTCTATCATTGAGTACTCTTTCGTCGTCATGAATTTATGTTTGTCTACAGTTTATGACATTTAGTCATCATTTAAAATGGCTGCACACTGAGTATTAATAAGTTATGGAATCTTGAACGAAGATATTCGATGGGCCCTATATGAAAATATATAAGCAAACAAATATTTTGTTGCAATTACGAATCGATCTTATTTGCATAAACATTGAAAAACTGAAAGCTTTGAACAGCCTTTCTGGACTAGTATGCTACCCTTTAATAATACTGATCCATGACCCTACACCCAAGAATCGAACTCACGACTTTCGATCTCCCTAGTGAACGCCTAACCTCTAGGTCACTGATTCTGTATCCAATGGTGTACGAGTCTTCCGTCAATTAAGCCATAGTAGGTTTTCAATGGGTGTTGAATTTAGATAGATTCATGGCTTCTGTGAAACTCAACAATATCCATACTTACAACGCTTATGTTTGTTCAAGTTTTCACTTAGTATTGTTTTTTGAATCTTCGCATTGATTTAACGCAATATCGAGGCATTACGTACATAATGCACATATGCCAATAAGAGACTGACCAGTTGCAGTCCTAACATATCGATAGGAAGATTCAAACAAACAATGCTGAGTGAATTCAAACTCCACCCCATTGGAGAAGCAAGTGGCTATCGGGATTTAGTAGCTGAGTGGATAACGCGAAGGTGTTTGAAGCGAAAGGTACTGGGTTTGAGTCTCAGAGTGAACATCAACTCTGAGATGCAGGTCCAGCTGACTAGTTCCAAATAGGACTGGATTCCGCTGTTAGCCACTATCCATCTTTGCCTGTTTTGTTGAAGAAATCGAATTGCTGAATAAACCTGCGGAACAACTTTTACTTGATCACCATCGTTTATCACAAGCACCTTTGTGTTTGAGTTTGCTTGTAAAAATCCCTCAATATATATATATATATATATATATTACTTACGCCTGTTACCCCTCGTGGAGGAGCATAGGCCTCCCACCAGCATTCTCCACCCAACTCTGTCCTGGGCAATCTTTTCCAGTTGTTATTCATCTTTTTCATATCTGCTTATTCCTTCAACTCCCAGGGCAGAGTTTAAATGGTCTAAATTATTTTTTTCTGGTTAGGGTTCTTTTAGCGAGTTAATTTTTCTACAGGATGGGGTCGCTAACCCCATGCCAAACCCTCCTTCTTTACCCGGGCTTGGGACCGGCAGTAACTCTAAAAGAGCTACAGGCGGAGTTATATATATATATAGTACAACGATAACTTGTAGTTTTTACCCTTAAAGTAATGGTGTTAGTTCCAGCTAATTCACTTGCATATTCCATTGACTTAATGGTTCCAGATGAAATAGCTACTATTCATTTTCCTCTCAATTTGAGTTCTTCCACGTACTCCTTTATTTGTTGGTTTTCACGGACTATGTTTTAATTAACCTCCAAATTAGGTGACCGACGTATTGCTTTTTCGGGTCTGAATCATTGTCTTTTTATTTGGGTTGCAACTTATTAATATTCCTTAAATACTTAATGGCTTTGTGCTTGATTCCATAAGGTCTATACGGAAATTTTGGCTGTCATCTGAAAACGGTTTGATTTGTTAAATCGCTACCTAAAAGAATTAGGTCTCCGGATTGTGTTAAATATATGACTTCTCTATCAAGTAGTTTATTCCTGCCATTTTTAGCAACTTATTTGCTTGATATGTAAGACTAGAGACTTATCTGTAGCCTAAAGCTTTAAGGAATCCGAACTACATCCATTAGGACGTAATATCAAAACCGTTATGTTTTTTTATGTCATAGAGCTAGCCTTTCAAAATATTACTACTTGTTCAAGAGCGACCTCAGTAAATTCCCCATCGCTTTACCTATTGCTGAAAAGCACGACCAACATGGAAAGTTCAGAGGATAAAACTACTTAGAAAATGGGTGATTTGAACTGCAACAGTTATAGATTGTGCTCATTCTATCATAAAATGTCACGCAATCAACGTTTCTCCATCAATTCATCAATATTGCATGCGACTATTTCTGTTTACATTACATTCTTTCCTAAGTCTAGCGATATACTTAATGGAACTAATGTAAAAATAGTTCCCATGTGAAAGTTTACAACACAAATAATAAACTAAAGCTTGTACGGAAGAAGAGAACATAGTTTACTTTGTCTGCAATGACTTCAGGGGTACGCCAACGCCCACAAATCGTAGAAACGTAGGAAATGCGTCTAAGGCTACTCACGTGCAACTGACAACAAGCGATGCAAAAATTTTAAACGTTTAAGTCAATAGGATTGTAACATAAGGGCGCGATCGTCCAATTATATCAAGGTGACAGCAAACGGTTACTATTTGGCCTGGATTAACCAAATGTAGAGGACGAGCCACTTTATTTAGTCAATATTTGTACGGAACATGCAGAAGCTAGCCATATAAATGGTTTGACATGTGTCCAATCCAATTAAATATTCTAATGTAACATATTACAAAATATTTGGTTTTTAGCGAAGTTGATTTTATGCGCTTCTCCGTTTTCAATCAACCTTGAGACATAAATAACTAGTCAGTGATTCAAAACCGTTTAGGAAAGTACTGAAAAAAGAGCTGAAGTGAATAGGAATCAGATATTTTAACAAAAGAGATACAAAACCCCATAAAAACTCAAGTGTTTGTTGTATTCGTTACAGATTTAAGCCAAGAGGGCACAGTATCCAATCCAAATAATGGCCTCGCATAACTTGAAACAGCTGCAATAGCAGCTAAACCACCTATTATGTTCATTGGGATCCCGGCCATTAACTATAAAATGGAAAGTATGGAACATATTCAGACAAACAAGTTAGGAAATCTCTCATCATCTGACAAATCATCGGAAATGTTTGGTAAAACCAAACATCACATGTAATCAACTTATTATTTTATTACTGTTTAAACACATAAATATTGGTACAAGGATGCACCAGATACATATGCGCCGCACAAATCTCATTTGATTTGTGTGAGGGCTGAGATACTGCCCAGATGCCCAAACTGAAGCAGGTGGTTTGCTTAAGGGGCCACACCCGGAGGCTTTGACCTAAAGGTCTGATACACAAGGCAGTAAAGCATCGTGAGGAGATGCAGTCCCATGGTAGCCAGTGACCAACGATTTATTCATACGCCATTTGTTCCTTCAGGATACTGGAGACCATGTACACCATTAATTTGGAATCAGGGTTTTTAAACTCCCCTAGGTGGACTTTCCATGTCCACTGACCCGGTTAAAGCGCCGAACATTCGCTTTTCGTTCTCTCAACTTCGCAAACAACAGTAACGCCACGAGAAGGCAGTGGGTAGGACTTCCCTAGCAGAGACTATATACGTGTGGCCATGTGAGAGCATTTCGAAAGAGAGAGAGCGAACTTTCCCCACTCTCGGCCGTACTAGGGCATTTGGGGGCATGTTTCTCGTCTGGGTGCAAGTTTCTTGGCTCTTACGGACAATGAGTGAACGTGACAAAGGTGGAAAGCCTCTTGCTACGGTCAAAACGCGATCAGCCCGGGCTGGTCTGCAGTTCCCAGTTGGTCGTGTTCATCGTCTGTAATCAACTTACCAGTTGTTCAATTGTGTTGGTTGAATATCTGCATAAACTCCACCCTCGTTCGCAATTTTGATTCGCATTCGCCAGTCAACCAAAACGAAGCAGGAGAGCTGTCGTTTTTGCTGGTTTACATGAAAGATGTAAATTTTTTTACGGTTAAAATGAAACTCCATCACGCTGTGGACGTGTCAAGCGTAGCACAGTCAGTTATGATGGAAGAAAAATCACAACAACAAGTTACGCCCCCAAATAGAAGTTATTTAAATATTTCTACCGTTGAGTGACGAAACAAACGAAAACATAATCAGAATTACTGATCACTATACTTTTAGATGATGTGACAACGTAGAGTTTATCAATGGCCGAAGATCTGCGTAAAGTGAGTTAATTCCAAATCCCTAGCTTAGTTATAAAAATACTTGCAACTGTATGAGAATCTTGATGTTTTTTTCAAAACAGCACATTAAATTGAATTTGTTTATGCGAGTCTAATCAAAGTTTAGAATTTCAGAAATAAACTTGACAAATAGAAAGGCATCAATGTTTAAAGTTCAATAAGGGTTTTCATAGCGAAAAGCTAAACATACCATGTGTTTAACCCGAACTCTTCCTTTGTCAAAAACAATAGTGTTAGGAGGTGTAGCAGCAGGAAGTGAAAATGAGTATGAAGTTGCAACAGTTACAGGGAACGCTGACAAAAATGGATGGACCGCAAGTCCCTCGCACTGCAATAAATAATTTTTTTGTATTAGAACAACTGTAATTATTAGGACATCTATAAAGTGTACACGAGTTGTGAAAAAAATAAACGAAAACTGTTAAAATCTACAGATCATCTGGTTCAGCTGTTCTGTAGTTTAGACACTCTGGCAATTATGATAATAGTAAACAAAAGACAGCCTAGAACATTACTCTTTAAAAATTAAAACACTTACTTGCTGTAGTTAGTAATATCGACAGTCAAGTATATTCAATTTTTCATAAAATACTTAATTCAGTGTGATGAAACACAATACGTTACCTAGAATTTTTCGGAATATATTTATAAATAGACCTTTTTAGTATAATTCAGGATGAACTTTGGACTTTATAACTGCTCAGTATAACAAAAAAGCCATTTCTCCATGATAGTCATCTGAGATAAAATGTGGCGAGACAGATCCTGATATTTAATAGGTTAAAGTCATGATCACCTATACTGCGATTACAAATAATATTCTAATGTTATGTACTGCCATTTTACATCGTCAAATGTAGACGGAAAAATGCATTTCTTTGGGCAACCTAAAACAAAACTAAAAACGAAATCCCCTTTCTCGTTATTCTTAGTCATGTATTGATTAACCTTCTTCTGAAAGTTAAAACATAAGCTGACCTACATTTATTACATACAGCGTTGGTCAGCATAATGTTCGAGGTTAGCTGTTTTGTTGCATTAGCAACTAATCAGCCAGATGCATGTGTGAAGATCTGTAAACATTATTCCCTATTGTTTTTGGTTTCAGATGACAGAAAATTATTCACTGAATTACCCAAACGAGGTAAGCAGACAAACACGGGACCTTACGTATGTCATTCTATGGTTTTAAGAAATCACAGTTTTGAATATGCATTAGATGAATACATGAGGACAGTAACATTTAGTAGTATTCAAGTCCACTCAACTAATCACTTCTATTAAAAACAATCCATCATTTCGAATTATATTCTCAACCAGTACCAGATAAAAATAATAAATATTGAAAGTCAATATCATGTCCTTTAAAGAAAAATGTCTAAGACAATATGTGACTGTTAATGGGTCTTGTTTAAGATCACAATGGTTAGATATCGGTTACACTTTCAGCATCTATCATGAAAGGAATTTGATATCTTACCTCGCAACAATGCCGACCTAGACATTCATGAGAAGTTTCGGTTGTTGCACTTTGTGGTGTAATGTTTTGTTAATTGTTTTATGACGAATAAAAATAATACCGTCTTTTCGGTTGGACCACTTAGAACTATAAACATATAACAGAAATGTACTTAAATGTTTGTGAACTGAGTTCAGTGTTACGGCGAAAGAAAACTGCAAACCTATCTTGTAAACCATAAAATTCCCTAATACTGACTAGATAATAAATAATACTGACTGAAATTGATCCTGTTCGTCATAATATAATAACTAACTACCAAAAAAGACAGAAAACTGATTGAAAAGGTATGGTAAAGATTCCGTTTATGAAATAATCAAAAACCAACTGACTGACTTACTAATCCAAAAATAATGGGTAAAATAATTGAAGCTGCAGCTGAATTGGATGCGAACTCAGTCATCGCTCCTGCTGTAAGTGTACAGACTATACTTAACATCGTAAATGGAATGTATTTCAAATGTTCACCAAGATATGCTCCAATTACATTCGTCAAACCAGAAGCCTGATAAATACAGAAATAGGATGATGTGTTTACGGCATGGTAAGTAGTATGGTAACGTATTAAGACATTTGAAAGTGGGGAACAACGAAACAAACGTTTTCGGCTCAAAAACTTGTAGACATCTAGCCTAGCTTTTAATTTGAGCTGACTAATTTTATGCAGAACCATAGGAAACAAAAGTGAAAGTTAGACATTATCTAGTTGTTTATTGACAAACCAACACCAAGAAAACGTGTCTGTTTATCATTACAACTGACCTGCATTACAGTTGCGAGCGCGAATCCTCCTCCGACCACCAAAATTACACCCCACGGGAACTTCACCAATGCTACTTTCCAAGGTAGAAGGACACGGGTAATTTCTGGGTCCGGCTCTAGAACACAAAATTAAGATGCAATTTTGGCCTGTTTTCATTTTACTGTTTTTCATTAACCTTTGACTATCATGTGAACGATATTTAATACGTCAAAACTTATAATAAATCTGTGATAAATTAGTAATGACACAAATCAAATGACTAATAATCCTATTTCTAATAGCAATTTTTAAAAATTAAGGTTGCATCCTGTCACTAATTTGCTAATGATGATCAGTAGACACAATTTCTCAAACTTTCAGTTACAGTTTATCACTACAAAAAGTTATTCTACAAATCTTTGATTCAAAAGAACAAAAAAAATCAGTTCATTTCAGTGCATAGTTGTACAGTTTCGGTCGTCTAAATAGCCAGTCACAACGTAGAACTTCGTAAGTACATACATCAGTTCGACTTGCCTTATCACATTAGCACAGAGATGAAGTTGTCGATTCAAATCCCATAGTGGTAGAAGAAGTAAGAGTATAAGCAGTAATCGGAAAGATTACGGTTTGAAGATGTTATTCAAAGAGTATAATCCAGTGAAACAAATTTGAGAAGAGAAAAGAGATAGAGACGTGAAGAATTCAGAAAACCAGAATTTAGGAGAACACAAAGAGTGGATGCACCTTCGCCATTGCAAACGATTTTGAGCCATGTCATTCAAGGTCTCTAACCATCGGTTGTTATCATCTCGCGGATCCCAACCAACCAGTCTGCACCTACCAGCATGACTCAGTCCGCTTGTCAGCGACTTCATGGATTTGTGACACCATTTGGTCTGGTCGCGCCTAGCTTTCTTCCAACCTACACCTACACCATAAAACATCTCACGTCGGGGCAGTCGGTGGTTGGGTGTACGTTACATGCGTCCCAGCCATTTCAACTGATGAAGTTTCATTACTTCATCAATAGATTTGCCATCCTTACCTAATACCCATTTCCTAACAACTTAATTACTTACGTGGTGGTCCCAGGATATACGAGCAATGCTTCGAAGACACCTATGGTCGAATACTAGTAGCCTACGAATATCCTCTACTCTTACCGATCATTTTTCTCTGCCATAAAATAGGACGGAACGAACTGTTGCGCAGTAAACCCGTCCTTTGGTTGATAGACGGATATCTTCCTTACGCCATAAATGACGCAAGTTGGCAGAAGCTAGATGGGCCTTCTGTATCTGTGCTGAGATTTCGTCACACACCAGTCCACAAGGACTGATGAGACTCCCAAGAGTGTCCCTATCTTTCCGAGTTCCTATCGTTCCGTTTAGTCGGACAGCGCACAGACGATTGTTTACTGGGATCCAGTCTAACAGAGCTAGTTCTACTCTGGGACTCAATACTATACCTACGACACCGAGGCCACGGGAAGCAGTATCAGGGCTTCCAGATACACGAAGTGTGAATCGAGTTGGTTCTTTATTTTGACATGGTGAGGTCAAATGAATGACACTACTTGGGACTTGTATGCAAGACTCTAATGTTCTAGCTAAGGTGGCCTGTTGTCCTATTTGGCACAGTGTTTGGATGTTAAAAGCTCTTACATGTAGTTTAGAGCGTGGTTTCGGGAGACCAGAAATAGCGTTCCGCATGCTCGGATCGTTTGTCCTAGCGGTGCGAGGTGATAAAGAGACATGAGGGGGGTTAGTCGTGAAGATAAGAGAGTTATCAGGAGGTGTAGGAAGGATTCGATTGTGAACAACTTGGTTTCGTGTGCTGTTACGGATATGAGGGCATTTATCACTTCCCGGCTGCCCACACCGTAGAAGGGTATTTCCTGAGGGACCTGAAAAGGAAGTTGGATTAATGTTAGTTTTAACGACCTGGGAGCGTGACCGCAGATTTCAAGGGACAACTGTTTTAGGCCGGTCACGCACGGCCTTTTTGTGGAGGATTTTCGACGTGTTAGCTCCGTTCTTCAAAGGACCTTACCGCTGGAGACGGAAACCCGTGAGGTAAGGTGAGGACTAGCAGTTTTAGGGTCGACCCTTTCTAACCCTTTTCTTCCTTGTGAGAAGGCAGTATCGCTGCAGATACTGGTTGTCCGAGGGAAAAATGTTACTGTTGTCGCACCCCTCTACAGTCAGCAGTACGACTTTGCTCTGAGACCTTGAGTTGCTGCTTTTAGTTTAACTGTTCTCCAATCGACCTGCCTGGCATGGTAGAACCTACAGGAACATATGTTCCAGCCAAAATAGCTTAGTTTGGTCATCAAGATAGGCAAGCCCAACCATCACGTCAAGATAGTAGCTGCGGCCGGGTGGTCGTCTAATATGCATACTAAATAGAATTTATGGACTTTTTTTGTCCCCAATCGTTATAACTGCGTCTACTTCATTTGATGGTTACCGTAATGTCACGTCATATGAGACTTCCTCATTTTTCCTTCATCTATCATTGGCAGAATCGAACTAACACTCTATTCATCGCTAAAATTATTAATGTAATGACGACGTTGTCTGAACCACACAATTTCTCAATAAAATGTACCTATGTCCTAGACATAAACGTTATCAATATTCAATAACCAAACAAGTTGCTGTCCTCAGACTCAGTACTATCATGAATTCAAAGAAAGAATATATTGCATGGTTTACGAGGTAAATTGCTAAGGGTATAAATGAAATCGGAGTAAAATATTTTCTGATTGCATCTACTCAGAATGAATTACTGGTACCGTATACACAGAAAGACAGCGCTATAATTTCTGCAATTTAAAAAAAAAAACATTACAAAAACCTTATTTTTGAGCCTAAGAATGCTGATATTTCGAAGGTAGTTTGTATCTATCATTATATGAAAAATATTAGAACATTTAAATGTACGTCGTTTTGTTAAACTAAACTCCCCAAATCCAAAAACATGACCAAAATGTCGTTATCATGTTTTTGTTTGTTTAGAGGAAACTGTAAGTGTAAAGAATTACAAGTTTCAGTGTAGGCTGGTTAGCATAACTATTTGTTTACTGACTAATAGAATAAAAAAATTGTAGATTCAACAATACTCACCAGTTTTAGTTTTGTAACAATGTCTCCAATGTTTCCAAAGTTTAACTGGATTAGATGCTGGTAAGATCATTGCCAAGATAGCCATTAAGATAGCTGGGGTGCTGTCTGTTATGTATTTTCTTGTTAACAAGTCACAAACATACGGAAACCATTTTTATATATGAAAGTTAGGTTTAATTAATCACGATTACTATATATCGAAATACAATTTTCAGATCAACGATTAGCACATACATTTTGAAATAAATTCCTGAAGAATTGTTAATTTAAGTCTTGTACTTCACAGATTCTCTGATAGGAATATAAATAACAGCCAGAAATCGCAATATTCTCGTCTCATGAATGTTGTCACTATATCTGTTTGATTATTATTAAAAACAACAGCTGGGTACAAAAACTAGATTTTTAGTTCTCTGTCATTGACAACCCTGGTAAAATCCAGGTTTTTCTACTTATCCAGTCTTAACTATTTTTCAGAACTTGATAAAACTATTTTATCAATCATAACCATCATAATATTACTTGCTTGATTTTATTAACCATTAACCAAGACTACTATTAAAATATTCTGAGTAAAGGACGAATAATTAGTTCCTTTTACAGTTTTTAGTTAGACATACATAATTCAAAACAGGTAAAAAGATTATACGACTTCCTTAATTTTTATCGTAGTAACCAACTTTCATTGACATCTTAACACAGTGAACTGAAAAATATAAGAAATAATAAAGATGAACATTAATTTTACGAGAGGCTGCAATAGATCATAGCTACGTGCCCTAGAAAGAACTAGACCATCATGATGGGAGACCAATACGCTGAAGTCAGAATGGACAACACCGAATACGAAGATATCATAAGACAACATGGACTGGGAGAAAGAAACGACAATGGTCACAAATTTATACATTTATGTGCATTCAACAAAATGGTTATAAGCGGCACTAGCAACGACAGCGAAAAAGCTGTGAGGGAAGAAAATTTGAGTTAAATAAATTCCATAACAAAGACACTAGCAGGACAACATGGTATATCAGAGAAACCAGTTAAGAACAAAGAAAACAAGATAATCACTGAGATTCAAGAACAGAGAAACGGGTGGATAGATCACGTAACTGGACAGCATCATTGATAAAGAAGGAGAATGTGATGCAAACATAAATGTAAGGTATGGTGAAGTAAGGATCACATTCCTACAGTTCTAGATCAATATGGACCTCAAAACAACTGTCAATCAACATCGAAGTCAGAATCCTGAATACGAATATCAAGACAGTTCTGTTGTATGGAGCTGAAACGTGGAGAACTACTACAACCATCATCAAAAATGCACAAGTATTTCTAAACAATTGTCTATTCAATATACCCAATGTCCGTTGACTGGACACAATCAGCAACAACCTACTGTGGGAGAGAACAAACCAGCTTCCAGTTGAAGAGGAAGTTAGGAGAAGACGTTGGAGGTGGATAGGACATACATTGAAGTAATCATCAAAGTGTATCACGAGGTGGACGCTAACTTGGAATCCTGGAGGGAAAAGGAAAGAAGGAAGACCGAAGTACACACTGCGTCGGGAATCGGAAGCAGACATGAAAAGGATGAATATCAGTTATAAATAAATGGGAAGGATTGTCCAGGATAGAGTTCGATAGATAACCGTGTTGAGCGACCTATGGTCCTCCACGATTGGTAACAGGCGTAAGTAAGTATCAATGTGTTTGTGTACATTTAGCGAATCGAAAGCGTGGAAATCAGAATCGAAACCAGACGACCGCCTAACGTATTTTAATCTCAGTAGGCTCAATGACTGTTGGTTCTCAAGATGTATGATAGTCTTCAAACTCATGATATTTGATAAAGACATTTCCAATCCTGACACAGACCGAATGAAGCTAACCGCAATTCCCAGCATTTAGTGACTAGTATGTTCGACTGTAATCAGAATATTAAATGCAAGTATTAGTATAATCATACTATTATCCTTCTATTAAGTTACCAAAGTTTCTCCGTCATATGATTTCAAATGAGCATGTAAACCAGAATAGCTTCCATATTTTGGAAAAAAATTGTTTACCAGAGCCCACTACTGCTTAGTTAAAATTATTGAACAAAGCCACGTGTAATGAGATTGGTTGCTCTAGTTCATTCAATATGCTGACCCTTCAGGGAATCCAAAAACAGAAAATGATGATTAACAACTTTCAGAGTAGACAGAAAGAATAACATCTGCAGCTGGATATTATTTGTTTTAGTTAAATCTGCATTTTAACAGGAAGGAGAAGAAGGGAGATAGACGTGATGATAATGCAATTTCGTAAAATGTGACATGACCTGACTTACAAATAGCAGTCATTCTGCTTTTATACGTCTCCAGTTGAATCTTTAGACTCCTTAGTTGAAATGGAGTAAAATCGTGTAGCTGCTAATACAGCTAATCCTCAGTTGGATTTGGGGTATAATTGATTTAAACTCGAAGAAACGTTGTAAAAGATAGGGTTGGAGTTATTTCCTACTCTATCCACATTCTCTAGTAAAGTCGTAAACGAAATACCAATGTTAGAAAGCTAACTGCTTTCTAATTATTCATCTCAAGCTCTTAGTTCAAAACAAGGTACATTTTTAGTGTTACAAAGATGTGTGGTTACCATCCTTAAGGTTTACTATTCAGTACACACGTAAGGGTTTTTGCTTGTAAGTATTTGGCGTGAGCTTAAAGTATATGAACCGGAAATAAATTAATTTCTTCTACATGGATAATTTGATCCGGTTATTAATGAGTTTGTAGGTATCATTACCAAGTTTTGATTTGATAATTTTGAATAAATTGAGCATTGGGTGGATTGTTATAAATAAATTAATATATTTGTAATATCCCAATGAGTAGAAAAATTAGATTTTCTGACGTTTCGTGACTTAGTGTAAGCCACTTCTTCAGAGAATAAATAACCAAATTAACATTAAATAGGAATAATATTTTTGTAAAATCTCAGCGAATGAATTTTTAAAAATTTTAAAAATTCATTCGCTGAGATTTTACAAATATATTATTCCTATTTAATGTCTTACTTCAACTCGGCGCTCAAATACTGTGAAACTATTAGTTCTAATTTAGACGAGAGTTCTTATACAAATTAACATTAATCCAAGTTTAAATAACATATATAAGCGAACAATATTGTTTTCGATTAGATCCTCATCAGGCTTTACTCTAATATACAGTAATATTTATATGCATATACGAAATTATTAAACCAATCAAGGCAGTTTATGAGTCAATGATAACGGTGGAATAGATTACATAATCAAAATTAATAATAAGTGAAAAGTACAAATTGGTAGTGTAATGACAGGTGTACTAGTTGTGATAAGAATAATAAAAGGCTTGAATCAATGTTACATAATAGGGAAATAGGTCAATGATTAGAAAAAATATAGACACTGAAATAACATTTATAGAAATTATAAGATTACGTAATAAGAAGTGTTCAGATAATTGGAAGCGAAAATTAGAAAAAATTATAAGTAAATAATTGATAGGGGGGTTAAGAAAAAACAAACTAAGAAAGTGTATGGAAAATAAAATTATTTATTAAGGCCAAGGTAGAGATAAGGGTGTTACAAATTTCTTATGAACACAGAGACTTGGGTTGTTGGATCGAATTCCTATAGCTTCTGCTATGTGTAGGAGACGAGATCGAACCCCATAAGGAAAAATAGTAGGAATATGATAATTAACTTTAAAAGACTGGTTTCTGTCAACTTCATGACCGCTATCAATCAAGTGTGAAAGAATCGAGCTCCGTATCGACTTGACCATACCTTTTCCTAACCACGAAGGGAGGTGTTCACTAACTCTTTGGTTCAATTGTCTGGTAGTGCGCCCAATATAGCTTTCTCCACAGGAGCAGCGGAATTTATAGATACACATAGAAGTGGCATAACCAGGCAACTTATCCTTTAGTTGGGGAATCACCATAGATCGTGTCGAGTAAGAAAGAAAGAGATCGGCAGCATTAAACGTTCTCTTAACTGCTTTAGTCAGTCTATCCCGTAGTACATCATCAGCTAAATCGCCGTTGAATTGTAGTTTCAGGAAGAGTGGTTTCTTCGCGGCTGTTGATATCTTTACTTTCTTATTTGTTGAATGTAAATGTTTATTCAGGAATCCTTGTGGATAACCCCTTTCAATCAACATATTATGGATAACCTCTAGCTCATTGTTGATAGAATCGACTGAGCAAATCTTCCTAGCTCTATTTGCCAGACATTTGACTAGGTTCCTTTTATAGTAAATAGGTACGAAGCTTAAGAAGTGCGTGTACTGGCTAGATGAAGAGCTTTTCCTAAACAAACTTCTACTGATGGAACCGTTCGCTTTTTTTATTAACAATACGTCAAGGAAATTTAATTTATTATCTATTTCCTCTTCACATGTGAATTTAATAGCTTGATGTTTATTATTAAACTGTTCGAGTAGTTCGACTTTGCCTATGTCCTGATCCACGATAATAAAAGTGTCATCAACGTACCGACAATAGAAGTCAAGCTTGTTGATAACATCTTTGAGGGGTCCATTCTCTAGTTTCGCAAGAAAAAAGTCCGCTAGGATAGGACCTAGAGGTGAACCCATCGCTATACCATCAACTTGTCTATAATATGTATTATTAAAGACAAAATGAACATTCATTGTACATTTCAAAAGTAACTCTTTAAGACTGACCTCCGGAATTCCGACATTGATTTGTTTTTCATGCAATTGTTGGCACACAAAATCAATAGTTTCAGTTAGTGGAACGTTGGTGAACAGGGAAGCTACATCTAAAGATATCATCCGTTTACCACTTAAGTTCAAATGTTCCACCTTCGAAATGAAATCAAAAACGTCTTTCACGCTTCTGTTGACGACTAGTTTGTGTAAGGGTTCCAGGATTTGAACTAGCCACTTTGCAGTTTTATGGTAAGGTGAATTATACATGTCTAAAACTGGACGAAGCGGAAGCACTACCAGACAATTGAACCAAAGAGTTAGTGAACACCTCCCTTCGTGGTTAGGAAAAGGTATGGTCAAGTCGATACGGAGCTCGATTCTTTCACACTTGATTGATAGCGGTCATGAAGTTGACAGAAACCAGTCTTTTAAAGTTAATTATCATATTCCTACTATTTTTCCTTATGGGGTTCGATCTCGTCTCCTACACATAGCAGAAGCTATAGGAATTCGATCCAACAACCCAAGTCTCTGTGTTCATAAGAAATTTGTAACACCCTTATCTCTACCTTGGCCTTAATAAATAATTTTATTTTCCATACACTTTCTTAGTTTGTTTTTTCTTAACCCCCCTATCAATTATTTACTTATAATTTTTTCTAATTTTCGCTTCCAATTATCTGAACACTTCTTATTACGTAATCTTATAATTTCTATAAATGTTATTTCAGTGTCTATATTTTTTCTAATCATTGACCTATTTCCCTATTATGTAACATTGATTCAAGCCTTTTATTATTCTTATCACAACTAGTACACCTGTCATTACACTACCAATTTGTACTTTTCACTTATTATTAATTTTGATTATGTAATCTATTCCACCGTTATCATTGACTCATAAACTGCCTTGATTGGTTTAATAATTTCGTATATGCATATAAATATTACTGTATATTAGAGTAAAGCCTGATGAGGATCTAATCGAAAACAATATTGTTCGCTTATATATGTTGTTCTAAATCACAATATGGGAATTTTTCAAGTTTAAATAGTACAACGGAACGATCCAAGAATATTAGGTGATCAATCAAAAACAGGTCTGAATAAATCAATGTCAGGTCATTTCATTTCGGTTAAAGTGATTCATAAGGGATATGTATGTATTTTTTGTGTGTATGTATGCATTGTTAATGACGGAAAATGTGTGACCTTTGTAATGACAAAGGATAGAGTTTAATTTGTAATGTAATGGTGTGAAATTCTAAATAATATTAGACTGGTTGACTAGGATAGATAGTCCAAGTGGGATGTATGGTAAGGCCGTCTTTTCTATTGAGGGCAGTGGGATTAAGCATTATATGGAAAGCTTCAGCTACTCTTCTTTCTTTGTGATTGAAAAAATCTTTCTGTAGTATTTTGATGTTTTTGAAATCAGTTTGATGATTAAGCAGAGATGAATAGTGGCTAGCAGTGGAATCCAGGACGCGCGTTTCGTCATATTTGGGACTCGTCAGCTGGATGTACCTGCATCTCAGAGTTGATGTTCACTCTGGGACTCGAACCCAGTACCCTCGCTTCAAACGCCATCGCGTTATCCACTCGGTCACTGAGTCCTGATAGCCATGCTTGTGAATTAAGGTATATCGAGGCAATACGCACAGTATGCACATACGCCAATTAGAGACTGACCAGTTGCAGTCCTAAACACATCGATGGGAAGATCCAAACAAACAATACTAAGTGAATTCAATTTGATGATTATTGAAAATGGCATGAACCGCTAATGCCGATTTAATTTGAAGTCTATCTAGTTCTACAGGATTATTAGGAGGTTTCTTTGTGTACCTAATATGTTCTTTGGCGCGAGTCATGATTTCGCGAGATGACTCTCCAATATAGAAGGCATCACAGTCGACACAACCTAATTTGTACACGCAGTTCTGTGTAGACATGAATGGTATCTTTTCTTTTAATCGAACTAAAGTATTTCGAAGAGTGTTCGTTGTTTTGTAATATACTTTAATTCTGTGTTGTTTTAAGATTCTTTGGAGTTCTTCAGTTGTGCCATGACGGTATGGTAAAACTGCAGTACCAACTTATGGCATTTCATTCGAATTATTGTTATTATTACGTGCTGAATTGTCTTGTTTTAATAAGCTTCTGATAATCTTCATCGGCAAATTATTAAATTGTAAGATGCTAATTATATTCTTTTGTTCTTTTAGTTTGTCCTCTTCTGAAGTGATGATTTTATTGGCTCTTCTAAAAAGATTTAAGGCTAACGAAATTTTAGCACTGAAGCACATTAAAACAAGACAATTCAGCACGTAATAATAACAATAATTCGAATGAAATGCCATAAGTTGGTACTGCAGTTTTACCATACCGTCATGGCACAACTGAAGAACTCCAAAGAATCTTAAAACAACACAGAATTAAAGTATATTACAAAACAACGAACACTCTTCGAAATACTTTAGTTCGATTAAAAGAAAAGATACCATTCATGTCTACACAGAACTGCGTGTACAAATTAGGTTGTGTCGACTGTGATGCCTTCTATATTGGAGAGTCATCTCGCGAAATCATGACTCGCGCCAAAGAACATATTAGGTACACAAAGAAACCTCCTAATAATCCTGTAGAACTAGATAGACTTCAAATTAAATCGGCATTAGCGGTTCATGCCATTTTCAATAATCATCAAATTGATTTCAAAAACATCAAAATACTACAGAAAGATTTTTCCAATCACAAAGAAAGAAGAGTAGCTGAAACTTTCCATATAATGCTTAATCCTACTGCCCTCAATAGAAAAGAAGTTTCCTTAATTGTCTTAAAAAGAACAAAATCAAAGATTGGAGCAGAATAATATGAATTCATTTTATTTCGTTAGGTTCTCATCAGCTGCTTGCAACCTATGAAATTTTAATATCAAATGTACTATTGATTTTGACATACCTCTAAATACAAAGGTGATTAGAAATGAATACGTGTATCATGATGTAACAAAGATTCCAATAGAGTTAATAAGGTCTTAAAAATATTTTTTATCAATTAAATAAAGTGTGAGAGGAAAAGTTCCAGGATATCGAACTGTTTATCAGCAACCGTAGACTTAACAAACGTTAGATGATTGTGTAATGAAGTGACTGAAGACAGATTAATGGTAATAGAGAAAGGTATGGATTGAAATCAGTTAATTATGAATTAAAAAATGGCAGTGACGTAATCTAAGCTTTATAAAGAGTTGAAATAATGAATGATGCAATAAAAAAGCCCAAGGCCAACTGGATTAAAATCATTCACCAGTGCCGTCTTGAGACCTCTCATTGATATTGGACATTAAATGGATGTAATGAAGTCTTTCAAGGCTATTAATAAACAATCGAACCTTAGTCTCCTGAATTTTGCCGAAACTATGGTGATCAAGCATCTGAAACCAGATCTATGCGTCCAAAAAGAAACAGTAATAAATCTTTCTTTGTCCTGATAACATGACATCCTTTTGATTGCATTATTTATTATTTTAACTCTGAAGTTTTAATTATACCAATGTCAATTTCATTTAATTAATTATTGACTGATTTTAACTCATATCTTTACTACAATTTCTATTCAAGTGAGTACCCTGTAAAATTTGAAGTCTCAATTACCCCATTTAAAACTTGTTACTGTGTCAGGGTACAAATAAGGATTTCTCAACTTTTCAAAATCCACTACTTTGTATCCTTTGATCAAGTTTAAATTTCGAATATGTTATTTTGTCTTTTCACTTTACCAGAAAATATTTCTACCGTGTAATAAAAAAAAAATAAGATTCAAGACTCCAGAGAAAATTTTGTATGAGCAGAATGTCTCTGTCTTAAACGATTTTATGATTTTGAAAAATGCATATAAACTGACAAACTAATCTTTGAAAGATAACAAGTTTATCTTTAAACTAGAATGGACACTGGCTTATAACATCCAGTGGCATAGGACTCAGCCTTATAATCGGTTACTAGTAATAATAATACTTTCATGTAATTTTAGATCTTTGTTTTTGAAATACAATATAATCAAACTTATTTTAGTAGAGAACTAAGAGCAACTCACGATGTTTTAGGATCAGAGGGGTCAACAAAAAGTTTTCCCCATCCTGACGACCCAATATTTCGCGTCATCCATAGTGTTGTGAGCAATAGGAAAAGAGCTCCAGACAGTATTTCACAATATCTAGTACAAAAAAGCGAACCTATCAGTTTTTAGTTATTTAAAATATTGTTCAGAAAAGGAACATAGTAAATAGACTAAGTTGTAAAACACTCTGAAATTCCTGATGAGTAACTTGACATTCGGAAAGAACCCTATCAATCGATTAAAAATAATGAAGACGTTTCAAAGAAGAAAATTTTTTTTTAAAATATCATTCTCTGAAGCTGTATAATCGTATATATGGGTAACGTTTTGAAAGTAGAAGTCTAAACTGAAATAGTGAAGTGTTACAAGATCGTCAAATATTGTCAAACTTATTCAATTATTAAGTGTTATAGTCGGTAAAAATGAAATGGTATTGTATTATATGACCGAAATTATCAAAAGATTTCATGTTTTGAATATGATAATTTATAAATGAAAGGGTATTATTTCAACCAAATTAAAGTTATCGAAAGTTCTCAAGTATTGAATAAATTGGGTCTTACATCATATAGCACAGTAATATAAAATATCAAGAACTGAAGTTGTGTAATAGTTTTGGAAGTAGCACTTTATAGAATAAAAACAAAAGCTGTCTATTTTACGAAAAAAGAGTTAATGAGTAAGATTCTGGTGAGCGCTAAGACAATGAAAAAGTGAAAGACTGAACATGACCTTTTAGTAAACAGATATTGGGTTTGAAATGGTAATTGGCTACAGCCTCGACTGTGTAAGAATTCATGATCCATGCTTTTCTTGAACCAATTCTTTTCACTTTTTAGTTGATTTTGGACAAAGATTATTCTGATTGGGTGTGACCAGAGTTGACCATGTGTTCAAGGATTGGGCTGTTGATCGACTTAAATCCTCTTTAGATAGTCATACAAGATAGCGCTCGGATATTTGTTTCCCAAGTCCACACCTTGTTCAGCCAAAGTAACCTCCTCGTAAAGAGCAAATGAACATTGAGGTGGACAAGAATAGTGGTTTGTCCTTGACATTTCTTTGAATGAGTTTCATGCTAAAGAAAACAGCTCGCAGCTTTGCTGAATAAAACGTCCTTTCCAGAAATCTAGATAGTCAGGTCTTTGATATCTCAGCACGCATATCTCCCTCTAATTTAACGTTTAGGAAAAAAACTATTTGGAACTATGGAAGTACATTCAAATTGACGTTTTGCTTCTAGATTATTATCGATGAACCTGGAAGCGAAACCATTTTGCAGAAGTGTTCTTTGGATTACATTTAGCTCATCATTGAATCTATCTTCAGTGCATATTGGTCTGAGTCTTGAGGATAGAGAATGTATTAAATCTATCATTCTACTCAGTGGTATTCAATTTTAGAAATTTTATACTTCCCATTCCAGGTTTGATTTCCATATATCAATCGTTGTAGAGATCCATCTTATCTTAATTTTATTAGAACACCAGTAAAACGGAATTCTGCGTTCAACTCCGTTTCTATTGTAAACGTAATCAAATGGCGAAAATCATTTAATTCTTGTATTATTTTATTAAGGTCACTGTCTCCGTCACAGATGATAAATGTATCACACATATACATTGATTGTTAATTGAAAGATAGTGTTATCCAGGTTGGCCATAAAACGAACTGCAATAAGACGATCAAATGGAGATCCCATCGTCACACCATTTATTTGTCTATAGATATTATCGTCAAGTTTAAATCGTATGTTAAAAGTGCAGCGTAGAAGTAGTTCTTTTGGGAAATATTTTGGTACCCTGACATTCATGTTGTTAATGTCAATATGATCGAATCGGAAGTAAATAGATTATGTGAGCGGAACATTTGTGAATAGGTGAGTAACATCCAACATTACCATTTTCGTCCCCGTTACATTGAAGTTGGTTATTGAGTTCAACAAAATATGAAGTCATCGTTAACTATTTTTTAAGCTGGAAATAATTCTTCGCTGCCCGTACTCATTATTCTTTTTATTTGTCATAATGAATAAAGTTATGATGTTAAATCATTTGTTTGTAAACGTCTTTAATTTCTTAGTTGCTTCATTCTTTCTTAGTCAAATATATCAGCACATCCAATAAAATACATAATTCAATACCTTAAAAGAGTTTGAATATTAGATGTATTCAGTTTTACTAATGTTTATATAATTAATAAATGAATTTTATAGTCATCAATCTCTTTTATTTGAACTAACAAACATTGTTGGTGACTATTACCCTCCGCAAAATACGTAAACTATATGAGAAGATATAATTTTATATTGACTACCGTTGAATGTTAGTTGATGACTTAAAAATGGCGTTGACTTTCAGGATTAATCACTCTTTCTATACAAGAATTTTAATTCTCAGAATCCTCAGACTGTTCACTTGCACAGATTTTCACTAAATACTTCCAAATAATTCTTTTCAGTTTGTCACGATGAACTTAATTTCAGGCCTTAAATTAGTTTGCTGTTTGTTCACTGATTATCATGAACGTTTCGGGATGACTGAAATAAAAGTTCACATCACATTATGTTTTTATTCATCAATTAATTTACTTGATCGATCCAAGTTTCTCTTGTTCTGCTTTTAGTATATGGGCTAACCGTTCTTTTCTTCTTTTCGACTGCCTAAACGTACACAAACTTCTAGAAAAAGAAATCGAACAAAAGTAATAGTGTATTGAGACTTTTTAAAAACTCCACATATTTATCTAACTTGATAGCAGCTGACAAATAGTAGGTGGATTTCGGAACAAACCACTGTTAAGTGTAATTCATAAGTAATTTTTAGGTGATTAATTCGATGAATCAACTGTAGTAATAAATTTATCAGTCATGTGAAAGTACATCTGTTCTTCAAAATGTTATTGAGAGAATTTAGTGCTTAATCTTAGCTTTAGGAAATAGGCATTCATCCATATCATGAAGTTCTAAAGTTTGGATTAAGCGAATAACATAATGTGAACAAAGGAAAGTTATATATGTTCGAAATTTGCTTTCTGGCTTATTTTCTAACGAAAAAGTGAACTGTTCATGTAATGACTAAAACATATTCATTATTTTTCCTTTAATGACTTTCAACCAAGAAGACTGGTAAATTTTGTGTTGTTGAATGGTCCAAATTGCAACCTACAACAAATAGACATCTATAATCGTTAAAAAAATCAAAAATGTTAATACGGTCTTAATCATCCATTGAGCTTCTATTTCCGATGTTTTAAGGGATCAAAGCCTTGTGAAAATGTATTAATCTTTCCAAGTTCACAATACTGAGTAAACTAGGTTATTATGTAGTACTCACAAAGACGAAGTCTCTAAAATCAATTTGGAAATACGTCAACAATAATTTGTAGTCGTAAAACTCAAAGCTAGTTTCAAAAAATATGACTTCTTTTGAGTATTTACGTTCCAATCCAAACCATTGAATACAAATAACTGGGTTTAGATATTTTTTTAATAAGACGTCAGTGATTAGTTAAATCACGTCTATCTAGAATCTGGAAAACCACTTTTCTGGCGTTAAACTCACAAACGTAGAACTTTGAAAACTTGAACACACATAATTGTTGTAAGTATGGATATTGTTGAGTTTCACAAAAGCCATGAATCTATCTAACTTCAACACCCATTGAAAACCTACCATGGCTTAATTGACGTTAGACTCGTACACCATTGGATACAGAATCAGTGACCTAGAGGTTAGGCGTTCACTAGGGAGATCGAAAGTCGTGAGTTCGATTCTTGGGTGTAGGGTCATGGATCAGTATTATTAAAGGGTAGCATACTAGTCCAGAAAGGCTGTTCAAAGCCTTGAGTTTTTCAATTATTATCCAAATAAGATCGATTCGTAATTGCAACAAAATATTTGTTTGCTTATATATTTTCATATAGGGCCCATCGAATATCTTCGTTCAAGATTCCATAACCTTTTTAAATGATGACTAAATGTCATAAACTGTAGACAAACATAAATTCATGACGACGAAAGAGTACTCAATGATAGAAATTTCAAAAGACTAACTTACTTACGCCTGTTACCAATCGTGGAGGACCATAGGTCGCTCAACACGGTTATCTATCGAACTCTGTCCTGGACAATCCTTTCCATTTATTTATAACTGATATTCATCCTTTTCATGTCTGCTTCCGATTCCCGACGCAGTGTGTACTTCGGTCTTCCTTCTTTCCTTTTCCCTCCAGGATTCCAAGTTAGCGTCCACCTCGTGATACACTTTGATGATTACTTCAATGTATGTCCTATCCACCTCCAACGTCTTCTCCTAACTTCCTCTTCAACTGGAAGCTGGTTTGTTCTCTCCCACAGTAGGTTGTTGCTGATTGTGTCCAGTCAACGGACATTGGGTATATTGAATAGACAATTGTTTAGAAATACTTGTGCATTTTTGATGATGGTTGTAGTAGTTCTCCACGTTTCAGCTCCATACAACAGAACTGTCTTGATATTCGTATTCAGGATTCTGACTTCGATGTTGATTGACAGTTGTTTTGAGGTCCATATTGATCTAGAACTGTAGGAATGTGATCCTTACTTCACCATACCTTACATTTATGTTTGCATCACATTCTCCTTCTTTATCAATGATGCTGTCCAGTTATGTGGAAGTGTACATCACTACCAGAAGTTCTTCTTCAAACGTGAATGAGTTGGTGTTCTTTATGTTGTACTTGAGGATCTTGATTTTCCCTTGTGTATATTGAGGTCTACTACTGAAGAGGTTCCTGCTAAACTAGTTGTTCTGATCTGCCTTTATTTCTGTGTATGAGACCGAAAAGCTAGGTCATCTGCAAATTCTAAATCATTAAGTTCCATCCAAACTGTCCACTGTATTCCGTGCTTTCCTCCAGATGTTGAGGTCTTCATAATCGAATCAATCAACAGAAGCAAGTGAAAATGAAAGAGTAAGCTGTCTTGTCATGCTCTCGTCCTCACTTGAAATGTATATATGAGCTGTCTTCCATGCATAACTTTGCAGCGTAGTTTATTGTATGAGTTCCGGATTATGTTGACGATTTTTCAGATACACCATAGTGTCGAAGAATGTTCCATAAGGTTCTCCTACCTACACTGTCAAATGCTTCCACATGATCAATGAAGTTGATGTATAGTGGAGAATTCCATTCAACTGATTTCTCAACAACGATCCATGACATCACAATTTGGTCAGTGAACGACCGATCCTTACGGAATCCAGCCTGTTGATCTCAAAGCTGGGTGTCTACTTAATCTTTCATGTGTTGGGAATTTTTTCTGGTACTGATCATAGTGTGATCCCTCCATAGTTCTCATACTTGCTCCAATCGCGTTTCTTTTGTATCTTGGTGAGGTATCCTTCTTTCCAGTCTGTCAATAGCAGTTGTTTCTCCCCCCAAATCTTCCTGTATAGGACGTGGAGCATGTTTACAGTTACTTTATGTCTGACTTCTGTGCTTCAGGTGGCATGTTGTCAAGTCCTACTGTTTTTCCCCTCTTGATTCTTCTGATGGACGGCCATCCTGAATTTTTCGATAGTTGGTGGAGTGACATCTATCAGAGGTCTGTGTGTGCTGCCTTGGTGTCGAGTGGGTTAAGTGGGGTATGTTAAATTTATAAGCATAGCAATACAATATAAATTGCTTCATTTCTTACTTTGGACCGAAGAACAAAATGATAAGCCAAATCCAGGCGATCAGGAACATAAAGACTGAAAGCGGAAGTGCGTAGGCCATCCAGGTACCGAAATTCAGACCAGTTGAATCACCGTAACGACTGAGCCAAACAGCAAGTTAAAAGGTATGAATAAGTTGGTAATTTAAACTAATGACCATGATAAATGACAATTATAAGTCATGTAAACATAATTTCTACCAGCTGATATTTTCGAAAATTATTCTAAAAAGCATTATTTCTAATTTATTACTCGCGTCACCCATAACTTTCATCAGCATAGATATTTCAACCATACATCTGAAATTATACGAAATTTTGTGTATGGTTTCCATAGATAAACATGCAAATATTTTGGTTTTCATTTGAACGGATGGTAAAATATGAATTAGATGATCCGTATGCCTTCATTCCTGTTTGACAAGTTTCAGAAACTAATATTTGACATAATGTAATTGATTATCTGATTTCGATTTATGAGGTAGTGATACTACTATAGTAATCACTCATTGGTCATACGAATACGCATTCTAATGAAGTGTTTGCTTCCCGAAATCTTTACTCTATATGAATACCTTATAAGCAGTATAGTAACCGACGTACAGATATCAGCTAATAGAATCTAAATTCAGGTGTAGATTCTTTTATTCGAATTTTATAATAATAATTTCAGAAGAAACACTCAGAACATATGAAACAACAAAATACTTTTAGACATTAAGGTAAAATAAAAATGTTTTAGAGGGCTTTAGGAGGATAACATGAAAAACTGTTCAACTCTATGAAGCTTAAGTTACAAAGTTGATTTCTTCGGCGAACCTCTATCCTGTTATTTGTAATCAAAAGGCGCATAAATAAATAATGGCCAAAAGTGCAAAAATATTTCCCGTATATTAAGTGATTTCTTCAGAAATCATAAATACGACCATAGTTATATGAAATATATCTACATATAGCTTTATTTACAGAAAGAGTTAATGAGGCTGTAAATTTCATGAATATGGAGTCGGTAAATAAGTTTTACCGTAAAAAATCTACAATACGAAACTAATCTATGGGATCATCTTATAAAACTGTGAAAAACAGGAAGTTTGAAAGAAATCAAGTCAGTGAAATATACTTGATAGTAATTTAACTGTTGACTGACAAATACTAACAAGATTAGAAACTTAAATGTCGAAATCTTACTTTAAGGTAGTCCCCTGAAGTATTGAGTTAGGTGGGGTACCTATGATTGTTGCTACACCGCCAATTGAAGATGCATAAGCAATACTGAGACTGAATCCAATACTCATTCGGTTTAATTTCGACTGCTCATTTGAAACTTCAGATTTTGCAACAACATGGTGGTGTTGCACGAAGTCGGTATTTGATACCTGAGAATCTTGTCCATTGCTCATTTCAGGCTTCACTGAACTCAAATTTAATTCATTACTAGATAAAGAAAGTATCATCTGGATAAACTTCATCTCGTCAGACAACTATGACAAAATTAAAGATCTGAAATATAACTAAATGTTATTCGGAAATCTTAATAAGCCTGATAAAGTGATTTTCCAGGTGTGCTAGCAAATTAGACCGATAGGTCTGCCTAAGAATAAAGTAAAATTCTGCGAATCAATCAAAAACATAGAGATAACATATGTAAACTGAGGTGAGATTTCGATTCTGTTAATAAGATATTCCATAAGATAAAGTTGATTTTTAATTTATGAACAAAGTACACCACTAACTACCATTGATAAGTGCAATATAGCAATTGTTTTTGTGATCTGTGAAATGTGTGTGATTGAGAGTAATTAATTGCCGTATCTGGAAGCCGTCAGCAAAAATGGAAGCTTTTTGAAGCGAATCTACCTAGTTTGAAAGAAATTGGTTTATATTGAGACTATTTGCCCAATATACAATAGAAGGTACTATGTGATAAAAACTATAAGTTGAATATGAGAGTTTTGCAACAAAGTAAAATGGAATAACTGTTCATTATTTACATGCAACTGATTTTAAATTAAAGTTGGATGTAGACCAACTTGGAAGTTATACTGGTACATTTACTGATGAATACATTTTTATTCTGATACCTGATGGATGTAATCAAAAGTCATGCATGGGGCTAGCGATACCATTCCGTAGAAAACTAACTCCCCAAAAAACACTAACCAGAGAAAATTATTCAAACCATTTAAACTCTGTCCTGGGAGTTGAAGGAGGAATTACGACGTCTCAGGATGAAATCCGAGATTTTTCGGAAGTCACGAGGCCGATGCCCTTTCTAACAACCAGAGCAACAATTATATAAGTACACTGAATATCAAGATTATGTGGGAGACCGGGAAGACCAGTCAAATAGCAATGGAAATGAGGAGATACAACTTGGCAGTAATCGGAATCAGCGAAACCCATTGGACACATGCTGGACAACAAAGGCTAGATACGGGAGAGATGATGCTGTACTCCGGTCACCAAGAGGAAAATGCTCCACACTTTCAGGGAGATGCTCTAATGCTGTCCAGAGAAGCACTTGTGGGATGGGAATCTCATGGATCCAGAATCATTAATGCATCAAAGAAGGAGGGAATGACAATTAATGTTATCCAGTGTTATGCACTCACCAATGATAGCAGCGACGACGATAAAGATCAGTTCTACTCGAGGCTGCAATCAATCATAGCAAAGTGCTCAAGAAAGGGCCTCACAATCCTGATGGGAGATCTAAACGCTTAAGTCGGAGTGGACAACACAGGATATAAATACATCATGGGACGACATGGACTGGGAGAGAGAAAAGAAAATGGGTAGAGATTTGCAAATATATGTGCATTCAACAAATTGGTTATAGGTGGCACAATATTTACACACAATCGCATACACAAAACTACATGGATCTCATCGGACCACATCACACTAAACCAGATAGATCATATTTGTATCAACCAAAAATTCCGAAGGGCAATGGAAGATGTGAGAACCAGGAGAGGAGCTGAAATAGCTGGTTGTGGCCAAGATGAAACTAAAGCTAACAAAACACTGGACAACTGGACAAACAGCATTACAAAGGTCCAATACAGCCATCCTTCGAGATACTAACAAACTCAACGAATTCAAGATCACTCTTAGCAACAAATTCCAAGCTTTACAGCATCTACTGAAAGAACAAGAAACTGCGATGGAGGACAACTGGAAAGGGATCAAATAAGCAGTAACTTCAACGTGTCAGGAGGTTCTGGGACTCAAAAGGCATCATCATAAGGAATGAACCTCTATAGGAACCAAGGACAAAATTCAAGAAAGGAAGAATAAGAGGACAACAATTAATAACAGTTGAGAAAGTCAATGCACAAGCAGACTATGCAGAAACAAACAAGCAAGGAATAAGAGTATTAAATCCGACAAGTAGAAATACATGGAAGAACTAATAACGACGGCGGAAAAAGCGGCAAAAGAAGGGAATATGAAACAACTATATGATACAATGAAGAAACTAGCTGAGAGATATAGTAAACCGGAGAGATCAGTCAAGGACAAAGAAGGAAAGACAATCACCGAGATTCAAGAACAGAGGAAAAGATGGACAGAATACTTCGAGGAACTGCTGAATAAACCAGCTACATTGAATCCACCGGGCATGGAAGCAGCATTTACAGATTTTCATATAAATGTCACTCCGCCAATGATCGAGGAAATCAAGATGGCTTATCATCAGACAAATCAAGAATGAGAAAAAATCAGAATCTGACAATATACTACCTGAAGCACTGAAATCAGACATGGAAGTAACTGCAAACATGCTTCACCTTCTATTCAAGGAGATTTGGGAGGAGGAACAAGTGCCGATGGACTGGAAAGCAGAATACCTCATCAATATACCAAAGAAAGGAGATCTGAGCAAATGTGAGAACTGCAGAGGCATCAGTTTGCTATCAGTACCAGGAGAAGTTTCCAACAGAGCGCTGCTGAATCGGATGAAAGACGAAGTAAACGCCCAACTTCGAGATCGCCAGGCTGAATTCCGTAAAGATAGGTCATGCACAGACCAAATTAAGACACTACGGGTCATTGTGGAACAATCAGTTGAGTGAAATTCGTCACTATACATCAACTTCATCGAATATGAGAAAACGTTTAACAGTATGGACAGGAGAACATTATGGAAACTTCTTCGACGTTATGGGGTTCCTGAGAAGATTCTCAACATTATCCATGACTCATACGACGGACTACAGTGCAAAGTTATGCATGGAGGACAGCTAACAGATGCGTTGCCAGTAAGGACCGCAGTCAGATAAGGCTGTTTACTCTCCTTCTCCATCCTTCTTCTGGTGATTTACTGGATTATGAAAACCTCGACATCTGACAGGAAGCACGGAATACAATGGACTTATCATAGTCAATTAGATGATTTGGACTTCGCACATGACTGAGCCCTCCTATCCCATACACACGAGCAAATACAAACGAAGACAACAAATGTAGCAGCAGTCTCTGCATCAATAGGCTCCAACATACACAAAGGATAAAGCAAGATTCTCAAATACAACACGGAGAACATCAACTCAATCACACTTGATGGAGAAACTCTCGAAGATGTAGGAACATTCACGTACCTTGGAAGCATCATTGATGAACAAGGAGGATCTGATGCAGACGTAAAGGTAAGGATTGACAAAGCAAGGGCAGCATCTATACAGTTGAAGCACATGTTGAACTCAAAACAACTGTCAACTAATTTCAAAGTGAGAATCTTCAATACGAACGTCACGACAGTCCTACTGTACGGAGCTGAAACGTGGAGAACTACTACATCCATCATCAAGAAGGTACATGTATTTATAAATAGTTTTGTACGCAAGATACTTAACGTTCACTGACCGGATACCATCAACAACAGCCTTCTGTGGGAGAGGACAAACCAGCTTCCAGCTGAAGAGGAAATTAGAAAAAGACATTGGAAGTGGGTAAGACATACATTGAGGAAATCACCAAACTGCATCACGAGGCAGATGCTAACTTGGAATCCTGAAGGGAATCGTGGAAGGAGTAGGGTGAAGAACACATTATGAGTGACCTATATTCCTCCACGGGGGGTAAAGGTGTAAGTAAGTAAGTAAGTAACTGGTCTTCATATTTATTCACCTTTTGTGAAATATTTATGCTCAAATAGATCAAATTACAAAATGATTTACCTGTTGTCATGTTCGTCTTCATCCCCTTCTTCTGTAAACGATCAAGTTTATAAATAGTATAAGTAGAAAGTAAAGTAAACAAAATCTAAGTGCTTTGTGTATTCAAAGCACTTTGTGAATTAAAAACCTTTAGATAATTTACTGTTATTTGTGAGATTTTTCAGTGTATTATATTGTATAAAAAAGCTATCAGTAAACAAAGTGTTTAGAGTCAGTTCACTGTTATTGTTTCAGAGTTTCTATAGCTATCTTAACATACTTTCACAATGGGATCTTCTGTTTCTCAGTTAGCCTATAAGATGTCAGGATTAAGTGGCTCAATTACTATTTTGTGAATAATTTCAAGTGAATGATCATAATTGACGGTTCTAATTAAATACCCTTTATTTACTGAAAAACAGACTTCCGGTAATGAACTCAAGACATGTCTAAACGTATGTGGAAAATATGAAGTAGATGCATACGATATCAAATGGATTTGTGAAAGTATATTTGTTAGATATTCCATGTTTCATTGCTCATTACATAAATCAGTACACGTACATGCTATCTATTATAATAAACACCCCATAAACTTGGAAAAAGTAAATGAAGGAGAAGGTAGCCTAATTGAATAAATCCTGTGATGACTGAATATTTCAACCACAAATTCACGTATTGTTTCATTTGTGCTGTCACTTTTCTTTACGTTTAATGTTTTAAAGCAGAGCTTTTTACAGGCTACAGAAACTAGAGAAAGTTACCATAACAATTCTCTATTTACATCATAGTGAGTTTCCAAGCAACAATGGGAATTAAATTTTTATGTGTAGATAGGTTAACCTGAAATACTGTCTGAATCCTTGCGACTCTTTGGACATAAGTGAGGATTTTAAATTCATATTTAATGTTTATTAAGTCTTAAGTCTATTAATCTGCTCTTCTTTATTGAAAGAATAGTCACTAGATTTGAATCAATAAATTGACCTGATTATCTATTAATAGAGTTCAGTAACATAAGTTTTACCTAACTTTTTTAAGGATTACGTTCCCCATATTCCGTAAATACAAGGAGCAAACTAAACAGAAAGACTGGAATCTGCAACAACGTTTATGCTTATAACCTCAAATTCATGCAAGAAATACAACTTTGGTTAGTATATTGTAACATAATAGATATTACATGACAGAAAACTCCTAATTAAAATTAAAATATCTTAAAAATATGTAAGCTGAGATTGTCTGGTTTTAAATTTCAAACTTCTGTTATCACCACGAACTGTAATGATTACTGCGTGTTCGAACAAACTAATAAACCTGTTGATACTATGTAAGCCAAAGAATTAGTATTTTATTTGAACCATTGGTTGCTAAAATTCGATATTTTGACTTGAGAAATATTTTAAGTTCGAAACTCGTTACTGATGATGATGAACTTTTTATGTATATTATACAATTACACATATCAAAGCTAGCCATGTATTTTTATTAATTTAAGGTACTAGATGATTAGCTTTGTCCAAGTCAAGCTGCTTTCATTTTCACCAGTAATGTTTCATATTGTACTTTCAAAATGCTGATTTAAGTTTTCTTATAGCTTGACTGTAAATCTTCATGGAACCCTCTATTAAACATAAAATAATTGTTGTTAATTAACAGAAATGATGCCTTTCTCCACAAAAGATATTAATCATTCTGGAAATATCTAAATGAATAATTATTTCAACTTTTTTCCACCAATAAATCTTGTTGACTATAAGCTATTTGTAGTTTTTCATAAACCCCCGTCGCTTCGTGGTCTCTGTTCAGTCAGTTTCTTACTGAAATATTTTTATTTGATAAGTTGGTTTAACATATGTAAATAAAAAGTTGAGCCCATTGTGTCAAAGTGAAATAATTGCCCGTTTCTTTTACTATGGCTTAATAACTATTAATATAGATTATACGAAAGATTTAATAAATAAGTTCCATTACCAACTTTCACTAAATCATTCAATAGTGGATCCACAATTGTTATCATCATAGCTGTGGTAGCCGTATTGCTCATCCACATAGACAGAAACCAGCTAGGTAACATAAAGCCAAGCATAAGCCTGCAAAACAGTAAATTATCATCAAGCAAATAAATATAAATGATAAGCTAAAATAATAACATCTTACTTAGAAGTGAGAACATTAAAACAAATCTTTCATGTTATTGATATCATAAACAGATCGAAGTCGGACAACAATTAAAAAAACTGAAAGTACTGAATAACCATTTCGGCTTGGTATGTGAATCTTAAGCAATGCGCAACCTCGACCTCGAAAGCGATAATCGAACTCAGGACCTTCAGTCTCACGAGTGAACGCTTAACCCATAGACTACTGATCATATCTTTAATGATGTACAAATTTAACTTCCATCAATCCAAAATTCCATACAACCATTTTTGATTGTCCTCGGTGGGTAAAGTCTTCATATCCGACACGACTGAACTCAATCGGTAACCACTTCTCACAATGGAAGATCTTGGATTGATGGAAGTTAAATTTGTACATCATTAAAGATATGATCAGTGGTCTATAGGTTAAGCGTTCACTCGTGAGACTGAAGGTCCTGAGTTCGATTATCGCTTTCGAGGTCGAGGTTGCGCATTGCTTAAGATTCACATACCAAGCCGAAATGGTTATTCAGTACTTTCAGTTTTTTTTAATGTTGTCCGACTTCGATCTGTTTGTGATACCAATAAAATCCAAAACGCCCCTCAACGCTGTACTAAAAATCATATATTTTTGAAGGTTTTATGCTTGAGTCCATCTAAGCCTCATTGTGACGGTAGTGATAACTGTTCAACAGAAAATTACGTTCCTTAGGATACCAATAAAATATATGGCTTCTGTTTAATGATAGGGGTTGTAGCAGCAAAGTGATACATGTTTAGTCGAAGTTAGCCCTTAAAAGTTCGACTTACTGCATGTGGCAAGATTTATAGTACAAAATGTATCATTGAATATATGAATCTAGTATATGTCAGAAGTGAATTCGAGATAATATTTATGACATCTTGAGTTTTATCAACGTTATTCCCTGGACACCATTATTTTAAACAACTAACTGTCGTTTCATCAGGCAATTCGTTTGACTTAATAATGATGTCGATGGTAATATTTATTCATTTAATAATCATGCTCGTATATTTGCCTCATTAGACACCGTTGGATTCAACAACTAGACCACATTTCACAGATACATTTTCGAAAAATGAACAATTAAAATATCATTGAAACTTGGTTAACCATGCCAACAATATGAATACTTGTATGACCCATTTTTATTACTAACTTTCGTTATCTAGTTCAGATATCTGAACTGTACAAATACTGCGTTCTTGACAATATTCAAGTGAGATCTTTTTGTTTATCAGATGAGTTCAGTTACTCGTTATATTCTTTTAGCTTGGCTGATATTCTATGTTTCTAAATCCGCTAAAATAATATTTTAAAAGATGCCCTTTCAAACATACATCATTCAAATATTCGAGTGAGTAACTTCATGCTCATCTAAACTTGACTGATACAAAATATGTTCATATTTTTGTAATAATAGAACACATTCCGCTGGACTATAAGTAATGCTCCAGTTAAGTGACATAGTTTAAACTTCAAATAAAAAGCAAATACATTCAATTCAATTAACATACATTTTTGGATCACTTCCTACAAGTTTTAAAAATGAAATCGCAACTCTCCTGTGAACATAGTTGTTTTCTATTGCACACGCCATCATTAAACCCCCGAAAAACAGCATGTTTGTATCCTGGAGATTTTTAAAAAAAATTTGAAGGGAAAGTTTATACCACATAAAGAAAATTTTAAGTAGAGAATAAGCATCTTTAGTAATTCTAATTGTTTTATGCAAAAACGTTCTGGAAGTACATACATTTTAAGTAAAACTACTCGTTCAAAATTGTAGGACATTGTGACAGGAATTGATGCATAAAATTTACTTTTTCATAAACACAAAAAAAACTCAAGTTGTGAATGCTCTCGTGCTATTTTGTCTTAAATTAAATCTCAGTATCAAGTACGATCTCTAGAATTCCTATACTTTGTATCAAGACACTCAGTTACCAGTGGAAAATAGCTTCAACTTTAGTGGAGGTTTTTAAGAATTATAGTTAATAAAACTTACTCTTGTATAGGAGGGAGAAATAGTTGATGCTGGTGCTATTCCAAGTAGTGGTCCAAACACCAATGGGATTAGAGCAGTCACGTAAATCGGTATGATTTCAGTCACCCATAAACCAGTCATAAGAAGTAAAACATAGCCTCCTTTAGCTGGCTTTATAATAAATAAAGACAATAAGGTAAAAATTCAATGATATTGTATGATAAAAAAGTTGTAGCAGAAACAGCACAAGAGAAACAGCATGTAAATTTCTAATAACAAAAATCAGCTCTGTGGATACCGTATCTACTTTTTCTTCAAAAGCAATTACCAGGGATACTTCATAATGAAATTTGTTTCATATTAGTTTGTGAGCCTTGTTAAAGAACTTCGCTTTGCTTCCTAAGGGACCTCAATTAAGAAGTCATCACAACTATTTCAAAAAACATGAAAAAGTCAGGATATTCATTCTCACAGTGATCAATTAATATTTGAGAAAACGTTAATGGGAGCTTATTACAAATTCAGCCGGTCAAAAGGTGATTTGTTTTTTTTCTGAACTTCTAGAATTCGACAAATAATTCGCATTGAAAACTTTTGAAAATATTCAGTAAGTTTTAGTCAGTTATTTGTAAAGACTGGACATTATACTAAGTTTTCCCAAACTTATGGTTCTAAAAAAAATCGTTGCAAGCAGATTCAGTTCCTAAATGTTGTATCTCTAGTTCTTTACAGAATTAAAATATACAATTACTATGCAGTAGTATTGCAAACTGTTCCTATACAATACTTGATGAATCATAATATACCTTACCTTACCAGGCACCATAATTGGAAGTAACATTAGTAGGGCAGCATAGAAAAAGCAGAAAATCACACTTCGAAATGCTAAAATCGTAATCCATAAATTTCTGTACATCCCCGGGAGCTTCATTTTAGGTAAATAGATCGTTTTAATGTATGAGGTAAGTCACGAAGTAATTGGTTTGGAGACTAACTATGAAATTTTGGTATTCGATTAGATGGAATCAATTATGATCTAAAATTAAAGAACAGGCTATATATAGAATCTATCGATAAATCATCAGGATAATTCGTATGAAAGTTATCACTTAAATTAGTAGGATGTGACTATATGGGAAATATAACGAATTTCTAAATCACCAGCTTAATAATAATGATTTAAAAAATTCATTTTCTACAACTAAATGGTTACGTTTTGAGTTAGAAGTCAAACGTCGATCATCATTTAAATTTGTTTATAAAGGTGGGATTACTCAAAACACTGGGTTATAAAGTACACTGAGTAAAAAGTATGAAAACTGATGACTTTAGATTAGACATTATTCTAATAAGTTATTTGTTATTCTTATAGATTAAAAGACTATGAGTGGTCCCATGAGCACTTACATGAAATCTTGTGTAATGGTACGTTTATTTGTGCTATCATATTGCTAAATTTCAAAGCTGATTATAAACACTCACATTTCGCAAAAACGCCTACATAACATATTTTAATCATTAAAAGTTTCGTCACTAATATTGAAATTTCAATTGTATATGTGTGTATATTATAAATGCGTCAGAAGAATTGCGTTACATTTTTCACATTTGAAGTTCAGGTTGATGAATTTTGAAAATCCATTATCACTAGGCATTCAATTACAAGGTGTCTGTTAACTATGGTTGGTTGGTATTTGTTATATTCGTTAGTCAATTTTATAGATTATTAGCTAAATGGGATTGTAATTGTTCTATTGCTATTTTTTGCCCCCAAATGCCCTGGTACGACCGAGAGTGGGGAGAGTCCACTCTCCCTCTCGAAATGCTCTCACATGGCCAGCGATTATATAGCCTCTGCCAGGGAAGTCCTGCTCACTGCCTTCTCGTGGCACCGGTGTTGTTTACGAAATTGGGAGGACGAAAAGCGAATGTCCGGCGCTTTAACCGGGTTGGTGGACAAGGCAAGTCCACCTAGGGGAGTTGGAAAACCCTGATTCCAAACCAGTGGTGCACATCGGCTCCAGTATCCTGAGGGAACAAATGGCGCACGAATCAATCGTTGATCACCGGCTACCATGGAACTGCATCTCCTCACGATGCTTTACTGCCTTGTGGATCAGATCTTTCGGTCAAAGGCTCCGGGTGTGGGCCCCTAAGAAAACCACCTACTCCAGTTTGGGCACCTGGGCAGTATCACAGCCCTCAAGCAAATCGAATGAGATTTGTATGGCGCATATGTATCTGGTGCTTCCTTGTACCAATATTTATGTGTTTAAATAAAATTAAAAAAATTTTTGTAATGTAAGACACTTCAAAATAATAACCTAGTAACAAATGTATGTTAGGTTTTAATTAGTGTTCCCGCTAGAAAAAATATTGTTGATTTATTGAGTTAAATTAGAATACATAAACAATTTTAAAATTAAATTTCAGAATCGGTCATTTATCACCGGTAGAATTAAATCTACAATATATAAACATCTGGCTTACAAACCACAGTAAGATAACGAGTTTCTAAAAATTAGTTTCCATCAATCTCAATTCAACGTTTATTTATTCAAATGTAAATTTTGACTTTGAAGATAGCCATCTATCTTCATTCATTTTACAGTGGCACACTCCATTGCTACAACATATTCTAGGAAACTTATGAAGTGACGTTAGACTTGAAATAGCACCTCCTAATGAAGAAAACACGGTTGAACTTCCAATTAATTATTTTCAAGACTAATTACCACATTGTTAGAGTAATAAGTGGGTTCTAGTAACATTCAAGCTATGGTCCCTACCAAATTTCAGATTATGAGTGTGATTTATATCAACATTTTAGTGTAAAGAATCTTATTACATAAAATGTTGCACACAGTGATAAAAAGCTAGATACGTTTTATCGTAAATCTGAATAGTTTAGTGAACAGTTTTTAAAGGTATCTAGCTAATTTGTGTAGAAGTAATGATATACTAGTTCCACAATGGCTGTGATACTCTCAAACTGCCAAAGCATTTTAGTGCTATTCAACAAAGAGATACTATTGGAATACTAGTTTGCCATATTTATGTATTGTTATGTTAAAAAAACACGAGTAGATCTAAACTGGACCACGAGTGAAGACCTGGAAGGACTGGATAGCCGTTTTGCCCTAGTATGGGACTCCTCGGGAGTACTCATGCACGACTCGGAGTGCACGACTCAAACCTTACACCTTCGGTCTTGCACGCAAACGCTTAACCTCTAGACCACTGAGCCGGCATCCAAAGGTGTTAATGTCCGTAATCTTGCGCAATTCTTCACCCATTACCTGAGGTAAATGATTGTCTCACACCCGACATAGATTGGGCTCCACTGGTTACGAATTCTCACTAAAACTCCAGGAATTACATCTCAATGCTAATCACTAGTGGACACATGATTGTTTTCAGTATGAAGCGTTTGTGAAAATTGTATTATTTTCACAGTTGAAATTACGAATCGATCTCAGGTAGACTACCACTGAAAACCTCGAGGCACTAGACGGCCGTTTCGTCCTAGTATGAGGCTCCCCGAGTTTAGAACGACTTGAGATTTAAACTGTGAAAATACTACCATCTGCACAAAACCTCATACTGATATCATTTGTCACATATTAAAGAATATGAGCATTATTACAAAAATATAGTTTGTAGAGAAGTTGATCAGATTTATTGACCACATAGTGATAAGTAAAAAAAGTTTTGGATTTTTCGAACATTGTAAATTTACCGTATTCAACAATACGATATGTTAGGGTACTAATTTCGGTCTTTATTGTATCTCCTTGTAAAAAATTGGTCAGCCAGTACAATCCAGATTATTCACTACAGTACAGTTTAATCAAATCACTTGAAGATTATATATGACATGATAGGAAACAAGAACACTTATCATTGGATTAATAAGTAATACTCAAATGAATGATGAGATATACGTAAATATAATAGCGTAATACATAAATCTACATATGATGAGCTTAAATACTACTGTTTCATAATATTATATAGTTAACGTTTTTATACATGTTAAGGTCATTAAAATAATAAATTTTTCATAAGCAAAGATGGTGGCTAACTGTGTAATCCAGGACGCCCATTTCATCCTATTTGGTAGTCGTCAGCTGGATGTACCTGCATCTCGGAGTTGATGTTCACTACGGGACCGAAACCCAATACCATTCACTTCAAACGTCATCGCGTTATCCACTTAGCTACTGAGTCCAGATAGCCACCTGCTTGTGCAATGGATCCCACTGCTAGCTACCATCTATATTTACTTATAATAGTTGTGACTTAAGGCAATATCGAGGCAGTCCGTATAAGATTCACATATGTCAATAACAGACTGATCAATTGTAATCCTAAACAACAATGGGAAGATACAAGTAAACAATACCAAGTGAATTTAAATAATAAATGCATTTGGAAATACCTGGAGCATGAATCGAAAATTAACAGCACAGTAGAAGTATTGAAACAATTGAATTAGTGATATATATATATATATATATATATATATATATATATTTGTAAACGACATTTGTATGTGAATTTTTAATTTGATTGTATATGAATGACAGTAGACAAACTGCACATAACTATAACTGGAGGTATATTTATGTATCATATACAACGATTCACTTAAAAGTTTGATTTAATTAGCCTATTATTTTAATTTTGTTTATAAAATACTTTTAAATTATAAACAGAAAATTTAAATAATGGTTTAATTTTTTAAACAAAAATTGAGTCGTAAACAAAAACATAACTTGTCTTAAAGATGTCAAATCAGTTGTTTGTAATTAATATTCCGTTCTTTGAAATTAGATTAACAGTTTGCGGGGACGGATTTTATTCAAATGTCTGTCATCATGAATTAACTGTAAGAAAACAATTCGAAATCAAATACTATTGGATCGTTGAGATTTTTGAGCTCCCTATACCACCATGAAACTGAATCCAAAAACATATAACTCTCACGTTTTGCATAACATGTTTTTAATCATCGGAATCTAAATTTACTGCTTCATGTTTTCATTTGCAATTAACTTGTAATAAAACATGTCTATCGAAATCATCCTATCATGTGACAAGTCTCATATCATAACAATCGGTTGTATGCGTTACACCTACCTGCACATTAGAACTTTGCATAATTCTTGTAGAAGCTGGCGATTAGTAGATACCTATTTGGACATTTTAGATAAATATTTTGTATTACTTACCAGACATATGTTATAAGTAATTTGAATTAGTATACCGGAAATTTGTGTGATTTTGTGTGGTTCAACAAGACTAATGACTACATATCATTTTATTCATACAAACTGGGATTTTATAAACGCGTTCACACTAATCTAATTTATTAGTCAGTTAAAAATGAGAAAATTAAGTATATATGGTTAGTGTTTGTAGGATCTTAATAATGAAGTTGTCGTCCATTAATCATAACAGTCCCACGATGGAAGTGACAAAAAAGATAACAACTAATCGATTTGCAGTGCATCAGAAACTATATATATAAAAGCAAAGATGGATAGTGGCTACCAGTGGAATCCAGTTTGATGCGCGTTTCGTCCCATTTGGGACTCGTCAGCTGGATGTACCTGCATCTCGGAGTTGATGTTCACTCTGGGACTTGAACCCAGTACCTTTTGCTTCAAACGCCATCGCGTCATCCACTCAGATACTGAGTCCTGATAGCTACTTGCTTTTGCAATGGCGTGAAGTTATATATATATATATATATATATATATATATATATATATATTATTCTATATGGTTGACATTAGAATCACGGCTCGTATTATCCCCTACAACCCTTGTTTTCGAAAATGAAGGATGTGAAAAAAATTTAGCAATTGGTGATTGGTGAATTTGTTTTTGAAAGTGTGTGCTCAAGTGCAAATGAACAAACATTTTGTCACCTGTAATAATTTTTTTAATTGGTTGTAAATGAAGCAGCTTTGTTATCTGATTCGTTCAAATCGAACTAGAATAAAGTGCCGCGTTATGGCAGCAGCTATAGCAGGTGATGTTCCAGATATCAACAGTGGCTTCACTGTTTCCAATTCCGCCGCCGTTAATCGACGCATCCATGTGTTACAGTCGTACCTCAGGGAATTGCACTCGTGATTGTGATGCACATTCCCACGAACAACAGTCCAATAACCTTCAAGAAACTTACAAAAGATGAAGGCCGGACATTGTTTGTCCATTGAAGTCCTCAATGAACAATATAATCACACTAATTAAATTACCTCCTTCGTCTAATCCGCTGCAAAGAACCGCTTGGTGTTTTATAGCTCTTTCTCCAACATACAAATTTAATATACGGCTTCCGATCTCCATGGAAATGAGAATCTCTCACCGCATAATGGCAGTACGTTGCTATTTCATAAGTTCTAATGGCGCTCTTTAACGCTTCCAGTGATGGAAACGCTACCAGATACAATGTATTCAAAAATACATTTTCCGCTTCTGTGACTACGTGAGGAACAACTAAGCCTCTAATTTGCACGTTACTGACGTTCATATTGTGAAGAAAATTATCTACAGAGCTTTTATACGAATTTCAAGGATTACATAGCCAATTATAACGCATTTACAACTAGGAATTTCATTGGACGAAACGGGTTGAAAAAAATTGGGAAGTGGGATGAGAATTTTTTGATTAAAGGGGACAAAAAAAATTTATTAAAAAAAAAATCGACGTGATCCTAATGTTATTCTATATTATTATTATTATTATTGTTGTTATTATATTATTATTATTACTATCTGATGTGTGGACGAGAATGACAGTGATTGGTTGTCTTGATGAGTCAGACATTAGATAGGATGACAGGTGTTATGTGTTATATATATATTCCCCTATCCTTATTATGTATTGACTGTTTCTTGTTGATGGACACTTATTGATTGACTGTTCCTTGTGTCGGATTTTGGTGTGGAAGTATATTGACGTTATAGTCAGGCTAATCTCATGTTCTTGATCTGAGTTGTGTTGAAGTCCTGTAGAATAGACACTGGGTAGGAATCTAGTGTAGATATTCGTCTAAGATAAATTAACGTCCCACATACGTGTAGGAAGTAAAAGGACTGTTATAACAAGAACCCCTAAAGTCATAACCACCATCCTCTCTCTCTCTCTCTACGTTTATAACAATTGGCGACGGCATACTTACGTTTATAACACTATCATTATTATATTACCTTCATCGTCTAAACATCCTTAAAAACACAACATTTGGGATTGATCAAATATTCTGTTTGTCATATACATTAACAAGCACAAAAGATTCATGATATCAGTCAAATTAATTTCAGAAGAATAAGACAAATACGTTACATTTCAATTTGTCTTCAACAAATGCTTCTACTTGTGTCAAACCAGAATTAAATGGCTTTTAACGCATTTATTGAAATAAAGTATTTTCTAAGTTAATCCAAACACCTATCATATATCTACAAATTAACAGTTTATTTTACAACTGATCTTGAAAGGTCTATCGTAAAAAGTGAGTGATGCGATGACACTATTTAAGGTGTTTTGACATTGGTAATAAAGAAGACATTGGAGATTATTACTGCACAAAACACCTACTAGAGCTATTCATGGCGGCGTTTAGTTTACCACAGAAAATGAAAAGATTATCGCTGAGCAAAAGAGAGTAAATAGTATAAATCTCTGTTCATATTATTGGAAGTGTATAAGACGTGATTTGCATCGGAACTTTATTGATATTTGTTTAATCGGTTGCAAAAACAGTTTATAGAACAAAAAAAGGTGAAGTACAGATAAATTGGAAAAAATTATTGAGCTTTAGGGACTATCTAGGCACTAGCCATTCTTATTCATCACAACTTTAAAGCTAATGACTTGATCTCACCCATTTAGTTTTTGATTATTTTTATTATTGTTTCAAGATCATCTGTTTTATATTGTGTTTACGTATAATATTTCCTTAAAACTTACTTGAATCTTTATCATACCATGCAGACATAAATGTTTGATCAACTATACTTCTATGAATCGACTAAAATCTGTTTGTAACTTTGTTTACAGGAGATCTGATGTAAGAAGCTGACGAGAACCTAACATAATAAAATGTACTCATATTATTGTTTTCTTGAATTATGTGTCTAAAACATCACTGTAGTCCATAGTAATTTTTCAACTACAGATAAATTTGATATGAATAGAGATGAATGTGTTATAAAAGCAATTATTTCCGTATACTGATAGTTGAACAGAATGATCATGATTGCTAAAAGTTAACCGATAGAATAATGATTGACTAAATTAATTTTCCGTTTCTATGAAAAGTTGTGTAAAACAGTTATTGTATTCAGTACTATCTCATTATCCAAATTATTAAAATAGCCAAGCAAACAGAGAAATGTAAAAAGAATTATAAATTACTGAGTCCGAATTCGGTGGTTTGGTGAGTCAGTTTTAAATTACAAATGATATGGGTATAATCGAGTGATTGACTACAAATACGTTAAAAGTAGTCTGCCATGTGGTCATTAATACGTCAGATATTCAGCCAAATGGCTTAGGTTAATGATAGATGCATAGTATTGTCGATAGTTGATTATTTATCAAAATTTTAGTTTAACCACAGATTTATAACTAAAACAGCTTCTGGATTTGAATACTTCTTCAGTATTGGTTCAATAGTTGAGGAATTTTGATAAATTATATTTACCATACCTGACCAATTCATAAAGTTTTAATTATCATTTGTGACGTACGCTACAATATATAAACGTATTGTTCTGTATATCTTTTATTTTCAATTTTTAAGGATTTTAGATTAGTTGCTTGTACGCTAACTAATGCAGATAGTCAATTCGGAGCTTACTGAGACTGTTGTTAGATGTCCTGATCATATCGCTAATTTATTAAACAATCTTTGAACAAAGAATATGTATGGTTTTAAAATAATGTATTGGTTATTCAGCTAAAAATAAATCAGTCATCAGTCCACTAATTCAATTATTCACTTACCTATCATATTTGCTTTAGTATAAGTGATTAACACGTGACAAATAAATTCTTTTACAATTTACTTTTAATAACTTTTTTAATCACAAGTTAAAAATTTCCTAACCAACCAGAAAAAGAAAATTAATAGTCTATGTGGCATATAAAGAACATCCTCATATTAACTTATAAGAATAATTTTATTCATAGTGAGTATACTGATCTCTCTAATATACCATGATGCATTTTGGACTAACACAACGTGAACTACTTCAGTATACACAGACTACACAGCCGAATGTTCTAAAACCGGGAGTCATAGATGAAGTAGTGAACGTGTTGTTGAAACACTATGAAGTGAGTGTAGATTAGTAAATCAGATTCATAATTCTTTATGATCATTTCATTTTTAATACATTCTGCACAATAATTTATCAAAATGTTTCATTAGGTTTGAAAAAGGAGTTATTTTGTTTACTTTCCCTCTTATTTTCAACCAACACTTGGGATATTTTATAGTCAGTGTACAGTATTTCTATTCTTACTTAGTAGTAGTTAAATCAGTCCAAAGGACGTTATTTATTTTATGTCTAACTTGATATATTGAATTCTTGACAATGTTACAGCTGAGCTATAATCTTATGGAATAGAAACAATTTTCAATAAACAACGAAAATGAAGTTTAGTTTTACATATGAATTTCAACATGGTCTTAAACTTTATTCTAATGACTTAAAACTGTTTTATTACTATTTCTTAAATATCATTTTGAATGATAACCTCAAATATACGGGACCAAAACGGTTCATGAAGTCGTCTTCTGTGGTTGCATTACGTTGTACCAGTTTTCTTCATAAAAAATAAAGAGGATCTTTCTTCTGTAAATTGTTACCAAGTAAACTGTCACTTACAACTAGCCAAGACTGTTAAATGAGTCAGGTGTCGTAATCTTCTAGGGTGAATTCATTTTATAACAAAGTGATGGAATACGCATACCTACAGAAGAATGACTTTTGAGTAGGATATGAATTAGAAACAAAATGATCAAATCTATTGTTCATCAACTAAGACACAAACACATACTTAACATTTTTTCCAGTGCTTGCTATATTTCTTTTCACTCAAGGTAAATTTCGTAACGTCACATGCTACTTGGATTAATCAATATTATTTAACGCAACTAAGCTTTTAAATTCGGAACTGTGTCTAATTTTCAACTCTGCGGATATTTAAGAAGCAATTGTTTTCTACATTGATTAACTTTAACGGTTGTGTAAGAATGACTTGATTTTCTTTTTAATCTAACATAATTGATTTCCTATAAAATCTAAAAAATGATCGCTTGGTTATCCAGAATTTTCCTCATATAATGTCTTATATATACATTATTTATCGATTGAGTTGTAAATTTATATTTCTAGAAAAGAGAACAGCTTTTTTTCGTCATAAAAACAGTGTATTGTAACCATTTAAAATTAGCTGATGGTGTTGTACCTAGTTAAATTAAGCTCTAAAAATAGTTCCTCAGTTAAATATGGTCAGTTACCCAATCAAGACGATAGTTGGACACTTAATAAAAATGTTAAGTATAAACTGCTTAAATACAAAATAGCTCATTTCCAATGGTGAACATCATCTCTCTCTTGCCTTTATTTAAAGACTTGAAGTTTACATCACTCAGAAAATGCTTACATGGATAATTAATTATGTATACTATGAAAACAACGTTCTGAATTAAGAAAAAGTACTTGTATAACATGTATATAAACACAGCTTCTTTAACGGTATAATATCTTTTTGAAATGTTGTTCAACCTGATTGATCTTTGTAACTCTTTTTCTTAATTACGTTAATACTATGTTCTTCTTTAAATTAATAAACTAACGTTACTAAAGACTTTAAAAGATTTTGTCAGAAGGTAGGAAAACTTATATTCTTCCCCCAGAAGTATGGAAGCCGTGGAAGTTAAAAGTCACAATAAATCAATAAGCCTTCAAACATTAAAAAAGAAATTTAAATTTTAGGAAAATTCTCTAACGTTATTATAGTAACTAACACTAATAAAAAGAAACATCATTCAGGTTTCATTTATCTGTTCAATAGTAATCCCATAATTTTATAGTGATCAGGACTGAATTAATAATATACATATGACATATTTTCCTTGGTTTAAATATTGTTTTGGAAACTGGACTCGTGAACCTATATTAATAACAAACATCTACTCAAACTTACATTTTCCTTTCCAAACTTTGATTCAGTTGTTGTTGTTACTGCAGAAAACGAAAATGTTTTTATATTATTAATTAATTTTACGGTAATGGTAAAATACTGCATATGTGAACTTTATGAAATCTAATAATTTTCGGACTAATTGTTAGTACGTTTTAGGTTGATCCTTGGTAGTATCTGGAATCCCAAATCATTTCTAATAAAGGAAAGCAAAGCAGAGAAAAATAAATTGATCGTACACTAGTGACGAAGAACATTGACAAGTTAGGAACAATTAAACGTTTTTTCAAATATTCAGATTGGGCATTCCCCATATTTGTGAAATTGGTGTTCAATACAACAAACTTTATTCTCTGTTCAAATAAGGTTTTTAAAATTCTCAAGTAACGAATTGACGTACTGTACACGTTGAATTTATAACGCACCTCTGCGAGTTCAATCAACCCTAATATCATTGACACTTAAACATCATTTTACTAACATATTAGTGTGTACAGTTGAGACCAATGGAATAAATAATTCATAATTAACTGTGATTACAAGAGTTTGATTCTTATTTCTCAAACTCTATTTCATTTATAAAGTCGAAATAATGGATACTTTTTCCAACTATTTTTTTTTATTTGATTGATATAAAAATTTATGAGATTAAACCTTAAAGCTGATATTCCTGACAATTTGAGAATGTACTCTTTTAAATATTTCATCCAGGACTTTTTATTATCGACAAGTTATAACAACCAACTGTAATATAATCAGCAATATTTCATTTTATAGAAATGTGAAGATGAACGAATCCACAGTTTAGCTGAAATTGAACGTAAACGTATGCAAAATCTGGAAGCAGAGACTGAACTAAAACAGATACATTTGTGTTTGAAGCGAGAACCTAAATGTCAGACTAAGAAACTGACCAGAAAAACTGTAAAACCATCCATAATTTGGATGGAAACCCAGAAACCTGGGATGCATCCCCCACCCGATTCAGAAAGACGCAAGGTAAGTCTGGGTAACGTATTTTTATCCAAACGTTTAACTCGACATAAAAACTATTTGGAAATAGTAAAGATATATCTCCTTCACTTTTTTATACTTACATTGATTCTGTTCCTACGTTAAAAACTTCTTTCAAAAATAACTAGAACATCTCAGCCATCAGTCTACCTTGACGGTATCGAGCTGTTGAATAAACGGAAAGTCAGTTTATAGCCTAGATAGATAAAAAGGGATCACTAACAGTAATAGTAATTAATTAAAGATACATAACGTATAACTCCGATAGTTGCACTTCAAAAAAATAACTAATCAGTCTTTCAGGACATCTGGTTATAGTTCCCCTTTCACCAAAAACCAGTAGACTTCATTAAAACATCATATGATTTATTTGCTTCGTTCCACACCGGATTTTTAACGATAATTTCAAAACGTTGTGTTTTCTCTTAACCAAAGTAGCATAAAAATTGTTTAGAATAAACAATTGTAAAACTGATGATTCTACATGGAAGATTTTCCATATTCATGCGACATAAGACACAGAAAACAACAGAATTTTCCGCCAAAATGCTATTAATCGTTCTACAGAAATACTTACTGATAGAGACTTGACAATTATACGATTAAAATCTCATGATACATTTATATCTCTTCCCTTATACACACTTGGATCAATTGAATGAATTTAAATCAGCGACTAGACGTTACTTTCTTCTACGTTGTATTTGAAATCGGCTCAGTTGTAGAAGGAAAGCAATCAAACAAAGGTCACTGGAAGTTTAAAATTTGTCGCTGGACCACTAATATTAAAATTAATAATCACAATTGTCACTGAACAGTTCAAATTAAAGACAAAGAAAATGAATAACCTGACAGTTCTGTGCCATATAATATATTATGACAATGTTTGTTTTCGGTAACTGATAGCATTTATAAAATCACGTAAGTGTTAACAACTTATTTTTTGAATAAGTTTGAATAAAGGTCAAACGTAATAAATTTTCAGAACTTGATCGGACAGACTTATGAAACAATCAACAACTGTAAATGATGAGTTGTTGACCAAGAAAGTGTATATATCTTCTTTTAATCTGATCATTCTAAAATTATCTACATTCACCTGGTTTTTTTTAACCGACTCGTATTAAGGAAGGGGATATTTGAGAAACGTCAAACTATGATCCAGTTATGAAATCAATAATTTAAGTTATAAGACTTCTTGTTTCAGTATCTCAACTCTGTGCAAGTCACAACGTAGTTTTAACTTTGAATGTTTTAAATGTTTTCCCTAGTAGAATATGTCATTTGAGTACATAAATAAGAAGTCCCCTCCACATAAATATAGTCATGTGACGTTTGCACTTTTTCGTTAGTTTCTTGAAATTTATTACAGCAAAACAATTCGCAAATTTCCATTCTTATATTTTATCAGTAATAACCCAAACATCTGATCACCGATTAAATTAAAATGGATACCATAGTTACCTAAAAGTACACAAGATTAATTTTAAGTAAATAGAGTGAAAACTTTAAGTAAAGTACGATGACAACCATTTTATTGTTTAATCAAGTATATTAAGGAAGTATGTTTTAAAGTTGAGTTAATTTCAATCGAAAACAGGAATTATAAAACAAATAATTATAGAATTTCCTAAAAGTATCCGTTATTTGCCTATCCGAATCTGAGCTCAGTTTTATGTTGTATTCAAATAAATGTGGCGGAGAAACTGAAAGAATTCACTAAAATGTTATGGAGATTATGACTTCAGAGATAGAAGAAACAGGATAATCGAATAAACATATATACATAATATCTTTTCAATATCATGATTTTATTTTCGGTATGATGCTTCATCAATGGCCATATACGTTTGTAATGATTCCACTTATGATTTGCACAAAAACAAGGCTACTAAGCATATTTCTATGTGCAATAAAACTACCAGGTTCTAAGTGTTGTTCGGTGCAACCAACCAACTTTTTTAATTTAAGCATGCCTACAAATATTAAAATACAGTAAACTCATGATTTTTAAGTTTACATTCACTTATATTCAGTATACAAACCTGTTTCGTACGAGCTAAGATGTAGAGTACATTAAGTCTACCATTTTGTATATTGTTGATTTTGTTCGGTTGAGCATTTATTGACCTAGTTATTCCTATTAAAATATAAAACAACCCTGAATATACACGTTTATGTATACGGTTGAGTAGGTAAAACGTTTTGAATCACCTAATATTTATACTGATATCTTTTTACTTGATGACACTTTGAAGGAACTTAAGCATGAAGTCCCAAAGAGCTATTCAATTACTTGCAGAAAATTTCCGCTGAACTATAAAAGTTCATGTTTTCATGAGTATTGTTAAAGTACTGATGAATAAAGTTTCAGCCACTTATTTTTAAGTCTGATGATTCGTACTCTTACTTTAACTAGTAAATGAATGGTCATATTGAAATTTCATTTAAAATTATGAACTCAGCCAAATACCGAAATACATTCTATGACCTCGTCATTTTCATCAAAGTTGCTGCCAATTCTGTTTAGTCATGTTGCTTCCAAAAAAATCGTTATAGAATTAGACATTTGTTTATGTTTTTACTATACCTAAACCGTGACTAACGAGAAAAGCAAACATTTATCATCGTCAGTCATATGATATTCTTTTGAAAACCTGAACACAATTGTTCGAGCTTTTGTCATAGAATATTGAATATTTCATAGTAAGAATATTTGTTGGAAAGAATTCAAAATATAACTCAGAAATTTGGTTGGACTTGTTAGTTAGAGGAAGTAGTATATCGGTATTATAAATGGTCTACACGTATCAAATTAGTTCTTACTTAAAGTCAACTATCATCAATTCGCTGGATTCAAATTTGACTACTGAATACAAATATGATTGTAGTTTTGACACAGTGTTTAAATCAGTGGTTGATGAGTAAATAATTCATCATTGAGCCAAATCAGTCTTATTCCGTCGAAACACGAAGCAATTGATAGTTCTTCAGCAAACACGGCAAATGCTTATATCTCTAGCAATACCAGTTTTTCATCAAGGTTCAACAGTATCTAAAACTATGATAACATTTATAGACATTTTAAAGAATTTGAATTATAAGAAGTATAGAAGTTCTGGAGTAGTTAAACTTATTCAACTATAGTGACGAAATAAGAAATCGAACAAAATCAACGTTTCCACTTTTTTATGTTTCCTTGAAGAAAATAAAAGATAATGATCTATTAGCTAAGACAGAAAATGACATTTTCAACCAAACAGATAATGATCCAAATTACAGACATACCGATGTAAACCATTCAAATCGACCAAAAGAATTAGATCCTGATGCATGCTTACATTTACCTCTTGGTTTGGTAAGAAATCCAACTCCAAGAACAAAGAAGTTTTTATCATCCGAGGTACGTTATTCTTAAATTGATGATTCATATTTACTATTAAGCTACCTATATTGTGTTTTTAAACTAGTTAAGCATATGTTTGTATTTAGCTTAGTTTAACTGAACTAGTGTTAATGTTTAATATACATATACTGTAGAGATAAACCTACTAATTGTCTAATATGCGATCCAGTTTGGTAATGAAGTGATCTTTAAAATGGTCACATTAATCTACCATGCATATTTTTATTAATGTAAATCAGAACGATTGATATTGATTTGATAACCTTTGTGTGAGACATTTCATTTCATTTTTAAATCCTTATTTATTTCAAAAACATTAATGTTTGTTTGACTTTCATTTGCATTTCGAAAATCGTTTAGACTAATGAATCACTTTATGCTACTGCAAATCAAATAGTTTATTCGTCAACTGAAGATCAAGCTCAAAAGCGCTGACAAAGAAAGGGAGCCATAATTTAATTCAGTCGACAGAATATTGTTTGATGGATGCTTTTTCTAAAGAAAACGATCATTATTTATAATAAGCGTTTTATTGGTGTTATTAATTTTTTTCAGAAATTATAAATAATCAAAATTTTGATTGCGATTGTCAAATTTTCTATTTTCAGTCCTGTTATCGGCAATTAATTAAGTCGAAACAGTTTATTTCACATCAGTTTTAACATGGCTACGCTTTCTAAGGATTCAACAGTTTGTATTTCAGTAAGAAAAAGTTACATCATAAACAGTTTTAAGTGTATTTCAGTTAATTAAGTTAAAATTTCGGATAGTATTAGCATTCTTTTTTGGGAGTCATTAAAATGATGCATATTATATATATTCCCTCTCACAGATCATATACGTAAACATTAAGTTAGTAAAACAACTCAACTTTAGATATCAAGAAAGGAACAGTTAATATTAATATTAGTAAGGGTTCTAATTATTCTGTTGTGGATATCCACAACTGAGCTTTGTTTAGTCATTGTTAGCACAAGTAAATCTTGTAATGAGTATCACAAGTGACAGACGTTTAGAAGGACTGAGACGTTTATATTGGCTTACCATTGAGTAATAATCGATAAATTACTTATCTAGTTCATACTCTTGATTGATAGGCATAAGGATATCAATCCCATAAGAGATCATTCACTGTCTGACTGGGTCAATGGTGAAGCCTCTGAACGTGACATTTGAGTGTTGATTCGGACCATGTTGTAGACGTTTGTTTTCTAAAAATACATCTTGATGAAAAGTATTTTATATTAGTGACTGAAAGAACCCATTTAATATAGAGGGGTTGACAAGTGTGATGTTACTAATCAGTTAGCAATCATTACAAATAATGACCACATGTGTCTTGTGAATGTCTCATGACAGTGTTTAACTACGATTTATAAGTGAGAGATACATTCTTGAAAACAGCAGAGCTAGCCTATCTTAAACTTTCTAACATACAATTTAAAAGGAAAGTGTTATAGTTACTAACATGCATAGCATTAAATTCTTGTTAATGGGAAAAAATGACAGTAACTAGTGACTGACGGATCACCGAGAAGTGACTATGTCATATTTGTCTAGTTCTTTAGAGCTGACTCAATTCTGTCGAGCAAGATGCAATATTGTCAACAGTCAAAGTCACTCAACATTACATTCGCGACGTTGAGAATGATAGTTATTTATTCAAACTGTAAGAAATACCAACTATCTACTAAATGTGTACGTTTATAGTGAGATATTAATTAATTTCTAAGTATTTTACTTTGATTAAGAATCATTTATTCTCTGAGTTGGAAGGTTTGGTCTTGAAGCTTTCATCGTTCTTCTGAGCAACATCATCAGCACAAACTTCCAGTAGAAGCGAAGTGTTCGGATTTCTCCACATATTACTCACAACATATCTTGTAGACCTTAATCCTGATTGGTTATTGTTGATATATAATCTGTCATTGTTTACTGCTGTATTTTGATTATATCTCCCATTGATTTGGTTCTTAGTCCTATATTTGTACATGATTTTCCTGATTGGATCGATTTTAATGTGTTTATTGACTTCTGATTGACCTGAGTGTCAAGCTTCTAAAAATTCTCTGGTGATTTTAGAATTCTCTTAATGCAGGACCTCAACATTTCTCAAATCAAATGTATGTCCATAGTTGTCCACATGCATTGATATAAGAAAGAATGTGTCGTTTGACCGCCAATTTACGCTCGTGCAGGCAAAAATGAAAGAAGCGTCCACTTTGACTGATATAGTGTTTTTCGCAGTTGGGACAATTTATTTTGTAGATGATGTTCGGATTTTCTTCCTTTGCCATTTTGTCCTTTGATTAGCATAGGATTGACTTAAGTGGTTTGTGCTACATTTGTTCTTAAGGGCTTCAATAATCTCGTTGTAACTTCTGAAGACTTTTATATATAGTAGGATGAACAGTTTGTTTGTTTCTGCTGCTGCGTTGAGTTGATAGGGTGGCCGTTCTTCTAAAAAATAGTCTTTCGATATTTTTCTTCATTTTTCCGCGCTAAATTAAATGTATATAGTAGTTCACTTGCTATGAAAACGGAATACTCACGTGTAAGGTGTTTTAATTTACTATAAGTTGAAGTTATCTCCTTATGAGGTAAACTGAATTTCGTTATTATCGAATAGCGTTTTTCACGTTACACTTTTTCAGGTTATTGTTTCTTAACCAACAGAGAACTGACTAAGTTTGCTCTTAATTATGACATAAGTAAGATAAATTATACTTAATACATTACCTCAGGCCTTCTTTTAATTTCTCAGATCAAAAAAAAGGGAATTGAAACCTCTCAATAAGACCCGCATTCCTATCTGAAGTAATTCTCAGATCAATCCCTTTGATCATCAACTAAACTGCTGATGTGAATCGCGAAACAAGAAGCCTTAACAAATTACGGAAGCTATTTTTGGGGACGTTAATTCAAAGCTTGTAAAACTGTAACATTTACTTTTGTCCCTAGCCTATTCTACAGATCATGAGCTTTCGTTTGATGTATAATTCACTGCCATAGCATTTTATGTTCTAAAGCCATTGTCATTTCCACGTAATCTTTTGTACCTTATTTTCTACTATAATCCCCCAGTTTTGGACATAATTGTATTTTTCTGATTATTGGACGTTGTGGTCAGCCTATTCATCTATTTATTCATGTAACTTTTCATCCGAATCTGAATTGGGAGTTCGTGTGCTAGATCGGGGTTGGAATAAAGTGATTAGAGTTCCAGCTGTCCTTGTCTTCTCTCTCGCGTGCTTGCCAGCCAATCAGGGATAGAATAGTTTTCGTCTCTCTACCCCCACTTCGAACTCACGCATACTAGCCACCAAGGTTAAGCCAGTCAGCCTATCGAGTCAAGGTATTAATCTACATTAAACAAGTCATACTAGGCACTAAAGTGGGTAGACGGATTCAAGGACGTAACACTGCAGTTTCAGATTATTTTTGAATACTTAGTTTTTAATCAGTTCACTGAAACATCCAGGTTATAATTCATTACTAACCAATCTAAGGTTAATTTAAACGGTATTTTAAAATGTTTTAGGTTTTGAAAGCGTTAGTTGACAATTTCACCAGTTAATATCAAACCTTTGTTCGTAATTTCTTTATAATTATAGAACGGTCAAGTGAAAGCAGAATGTTGTTGATTTGTTCATGTGCATTTTCAATCTCGGTGATGAGAATAACAAAAATACTGTCATTGCTTCTACTAGTTGATAGCAAACATTTACATCTTTTGTTCAACATAGTAAAAATTTAAACAAAATTACTACCTAGGATCAAGCTAAAACGTAAATATTTTGTTGAAATATTTCGAGCCATTTCTTGATTCATGCATTTGAATTATTGTTTTCTTAAGTTAATTTAGCTATCTGTGGTTATCATTGATAGTGATTATGCCCACTGATTTACATATGAAGCTTACTTACTCATTTAATTACATCTGTTACACTTCGTGGGACATAAGTTCTTCTGAGAGGGTTCGCCAACCAATTCTATCTTGGACACTTTTCCATTTACTTCCAATTGCTATCCACTCTTTTGATGTTTCCCTCCAATTCTCGAAGTTAATTTAATGTGTTGATATCACATAAACTATACGTAGTTCATCGTGATTTCTTAACTTCACTCAGCTTTGTGGCATCATAAACAATAGCAAACTAAGCATGTTATTTGGCAATCTTTGGAAATTTCAATATAGTTTTGACAATTAAAATGACTGTAATAAAGTCTTCTCAGCTTGACCAGAGCACGTATCGAGCGGTTTGATAATTGAAAAAAAATGTCTTAGTGTTCACATAGAGCAAGCCAGTTATCATTAAATCAGGCAGCTGAGACTGATTGGTTTCGAGTTCTAACTTCAATCCATGAAAGTTCGGACCTGTTCGATGCTGTGAAAACAATGATTTTGTAGATAGTACTCATGCATTGACATCCAGCTCACAGTATGTCATACCATAATCATTCGAACGAATGGATTGTTTAATATATTATTAATGATAGATTTTAAGTAGTGATAGAAAATTATGTTATTTTCGTACATGTTCAATTAACTCAAAACGCTAGTTCTGTGGATATATATTTTCTGAATAGTTCATTTTAATTTTTAAAAATTTCTTTGACTATAGAGATAATTAAAACCTCAATGGGAACGAAAACATGTGGATGTTTCACGCTAAATTTCTCATGGGTAATGCTAGATGAACTTCAGGCAACTGGTTTATCATGTCTCATTGATAAAAGAGTCACATACAATCTGCTAGATCTAATGTACTTATGGTTCATTCGATCAAACTGAACCTTGATATATTATTCATTCAAACGTCTCAATTCCTTATTTATGTCTCTATTTCCTTTCCAATGGTTTTAAATGACCAGATGCAATATTATTGCTTTTTGTAAAATACGCATGTCAAATAAGTCATGCAAACTTTAGTAAATACTATATAACCGTCCAACTTTTTCAGACACATAAATGTGAAGAACTCATGTGAAAAACAAAAATGCTACAGAGGAAAGAATAGTTTATTTCTCATAGGAAACATTTGTTTTATAGTGTACTTGCGTACTGCGCAATAGATCAAACCTTCTTTTAAGTAATGGTTACATGGAAAGTGTCGAAATAATCACCGTTCTCATTCGAAAAAAATTCTTTAGAGTGGATTGTACAGCCATTGATTTTGAAAACACGAAAAGGTAACTATTTTAAAAGCAAATCTGAGGAATTATTATTTATGAACATGATATAACTAATGCAGTTAAAATTCGTGTGATTTATTTATTTACATGCTTCTAGTGTCAAACGAAGCTTGTAATTAATGAAATGGAATTGTCAAATACCAGTTAAGCTAGACAACTTTTATTATTACAAGTGATCACATGATGTACGCTAATTTCATTTTTAGTTGGAATAATAATATATCTCATAAAATAGAACTACGGGTAGGAAACTGTAATACTTATCCAGTGTCCAGGATTTAATAAGTATTCTTGATAAAGAATATTTTGACTATTAATAGGTAGAGCAATGGAAAATAAGCGGTCTTTAAATCTGTCTAAATAAACAAAAGTACAACAATGTGTGTATAAGTATCCACAGACTGAAAGTTTTCAGCACTTTTCTGTTTTACCTAAACAGCTGACTTATTGTCATCTTCAAATCAGTACCCGAAATCACATGATGTAAACATTTAATAGCTTTGTTTGTGATCTAATAGTAATTTGTCATTATTTAAAGATAAAAGCGACAACGGCAACGATAAATGTCATGTCTTCCTACCAATATGCTCAAACTGTCTTCCAAGCCAGTTTGTATAATTCTAAATACTTCTACACGTTAACTGGAACAGTAGAAAGAAGGCGCAACTATTGATTAGAAGCTTTACTCCAAGCTTAGTTTGCGTACCCAATGAAAACCGCAACACTTTGTTTTGTGAAGATTCTATTAAGAGCTCACTGAACAAAATGCTTCCTAGCCTTTCCGAGCCGCTAGGGGCTTCGACGAAGGATATTTTCGGACTCCTGAAACAAAAAGCAACCTTACATCTCTTCATCTTATTAATTGATGTCCAAATTAAATAGTGATTGAACGCCTTTCATTACGAATTTCAAGTGTATTTCAGATTTAACTTATCTTATTGATGTTGAATCATTTTGCAAACCTCATTGTTTGTTACTTTATACCTTTTATTGATATATACTGTATATTAACAGAATTTAGTAATTTGGACCTTAATAATTCTTCCTACTTACATTGCATGGAAGTCCCTGATAATAATTCACAAACTGATTTTATCCACAAGTATACATAAATGCTTTTTCGATTTCGTTTTGGTGAGCATAATTGTCTTCACAAATGTTCAATACTTGTGATCACAGTAGTACTTATTCTTCCGGGTTCGTTAGAAAACGATCAGTATATAAAAGTGATACATTTATACCTGATTTTCAGTAACTTTTAATCAAAACAATGTATAATATGTAAAAGTGAAAAAATTGAGATTTCCAGGTATATTACACGCTTTAAGAAAAGTTTGTCCGTACAAAAACAGTGAAATTAACTGCAGTTCACACTGATAGACATCAAAGGCTTCAAATGTGTTTCGCCCTTTGATCGTTATATGAAACATGAATGTTTGAAACAATGGCTCTTCTGCATACTGCAAGTGTGGTTTGCTTGTAAACACAAACTGTTCCAAAAACTAATTATTTTTTATAATCATATTTACTGCTTATTGTTCAATCTAGATATGGTACATTACTTGTATCTTTATAAGAACAATATACTAAAAAAACCCAATGAACTATTAACTCTACAGATTTATTTGGTAGTACTGGTGGTCAGTTACAGTAACGTTAATAATAAAATCTATCCTTCTTGATAATGCTATTATTAGGCAATCGTGTAACTTGATTACAACAAAGCTAAAATAGTGATTTACCTAGACAGTATCCCATAGAAAAAAGGTTCATTTCAGGCATGAGACAAAAATCATCTGAACTACATTTTAGTAAAATGAGTCCCATAAACTAAGTTTTTTTTCGTGTGTGAGTACATACGTTTATATTCATTTTATAAACTGCCCAAACTAATTATTTTAAATTCCGAAAATATTCCATACATTCAATCTATCCAGACCAGTGAAATAATATTGTCACGTCATTCCTGATAGTTTGAGATTTCTCATTTCTTATAATAAACGAAGGACGTTTTATTCACAATGCAGCTAACTTTAGGGCACAACATCTAATCTTATTTATCCATTTATTTAAACACACAAACCATTCAGTTTGTGTGAGGGTTGAAACACTTCCCGGGCGCCGAAGCGGGTGGTTCTCATAGGAGGCCACACCCCGAACCTTGGATCAAAAGGTCCAATCCACAAGGTAGTGGAGCAACGTTAAGAGATGCAGCCTCACGATAGCCGATTACTTACAAGTTACTTCATTTGTTCGCTCAAAATTCTGGAGCCCATATGTACCACTGGTTCGGAATCTAGGTTTTCCAACTCTCTCTTGTGGACCATCAGCATCCAACAACCCAATTAAAGCGCTAGAAATTTGTTTTTCGTTTCCCATTTCGTAAACGACACTCCCGCCACGAGGAGGCAGTGAGTAGGACTACCCTGGCAGTGGTTGCATACGCGTGGTCATATGAGAGCGTCACGAGTGAAAGAGCTGACTCTCTCCACCCACAACTGAACCAGAGCATTTGAGGGCACAACATGTGATCAAAGTGGATCATCTCTTTAAGTTCATTTTCCCATTCATATACATCACCATAAAACTTCTTTGAATGCTCCCACCAATCACTAATATTTTCAAAATCAAAGCAAGATAAAATAAAATGCTATCATTTCAATATCCACATAGAACACAATCAGTTATTTCGAAAAAAATTACTCCACTTTGTTAATCAACTGTTTTCCTTCTATGAAAACATTATCTTTACTTACAGAATAAGGTTAACTTTAAGTTTTTTCCAAAACAAATAGACCTACTCAACACACAGTGATTCTAAAGAGGTATGGCACTAAATACTTTTAGTATAGTTATGACGGAGAACACTAGTAAAACGTGAAACATGAAAATATTTGAAAGTATAACTAACACCTTTCACATCAGTCAATTCTCAATAAATCCGAACAAAGGAGAAAACCTTCGAAAATTCTGAGATAAACTAACACTGCTGCAAATAAATAATAGGATGTGTGTCAGTCTTGAGTGCCGTTAGAGCTATGATGGCTGATATCACTTCTCGACTGCCCGTGCCGTGGAAGGGTTCTTCCGGTGGTACCTGAAAAGGAAATTAGGTTAGAGTTCGTCTTAGTGACCTGAGAGCGTGACCGCAGTGCCCAGAGCACACCCGCTTGAGGTCGGTCACACACAACCTTTTTGAGAGTAATTTTTGTGTTAGAACTGTACTTGTTGGGACCCTACCGCCAGAGACGGATATTCGTGGGATAAGGCGGGGTGTGCATTTTTAGGGTCAACCTTTTCTAACTCCACTCCTCCTTTTTCGGAAGGCAGCGTTGCTTCTATGCTGGTTGTCTCAAGGAAATACCTTACTGCCGTCACACTTCTGTACAGTCGGCAGTACGACTTCGCACTCGGACCTAGGGTTTGCTGCTTTTAGTCTTACCGCTCTTCAACCGACCTGTCTGGCATGGTAGGACCTTGAGGAACGATTGTTCCAGCCAGTATGGCTCGATTGCTTCATCACGATAGGCAAGCCCGACCACCATGTCAAGGTGGCAGCAGCTGGCGCCGTCTAGGGTTACTGCTGTTCCAAAACCCGTTTAAAGGAGGGTTGGGTACAAGGTTAGCAACCTCATCCAATAAAAATAAACCACTCTAATGAAAAAACATCAGTCAGAAAAAATAATTTAAACCATTTAAACTCTACCCTAAGAGTTGAAGGATCTTCATATAGAAAAGTTATAATTCTGCGTTGTGAAAGCCGAGATACTTCAAAGGCTACGAGGCTGATACCCATTTTGAAAACCAGAGTAACAATTATTATTTGCATGTGAAATGTTTGAAAAATGTCGGAGATTGGAAGAATCACTCAAGTAGAAGGAAAGACGTGAAAGTATAACCTCGCTCTGGTTGGGGTAAATAAAACACATTTAATACAAACTGAACGAAAGAGACTAGTTTAGGGTGAAGTGCTGCTGTATTCTGGTCTTGAAGAAGAAATGGCTCACTCGTACAAGGAGTTACACTGACACTCTTTAAAGAAACACGAAAATCGTCTATACAATTTGAATTCCATGGCCCTAGGATCATTAAAGCATCTTTTAAAATGAATAAAGGCATAACTAGAGAGAACCAGATTGACCACATCTTTATCAATAAAAAATTCTTTGGAAGTTAGCTGATATAGCTTATTTGTGGCGCACTTAGCAAATCTGTATAAACATATACGTTCTTAACATCTACACGTTTTATCGAAAAGAAACAAAATATATTTAGCCCTGTAAATTATGCTTTCGTTGAAATGCAATTTAAATGAATTTCGGAAACACTAGACGACAAATTGTTACACATCGATAGTTTTGAATGATATAAACCAACATGTAATTCACAGACTCCAGTTCCAACCGATAATCCTACTAGTTATCGTAGTATGAACAGGAAATGCTAAAAACAACAAATATTCAGACAGTTGTAAATCAAACAATTCACTGCTGAAATAGTTAAAATTAATATGAAGCCAACTGTTATTTTTTCCTTGTATTTAACTAGGTGAAATTTGTAAGCAAAGGAAAGGATAGAACACTAATTTCTGAAAGGTTGGAGGTAATAGATGGATTAAAAAGTATATTTTTTATATATATTTAGACAAAATTTGTGTCAAAATACATTATCATTTAACACCATAAGGTATAGCAACTTAAAATCATAGTTAGCTCAGCATGCGACTTGAAAAGACTGCTGATAATTGACGTGACGTAACTGTGATGAATTCACTAGAGTATCCTTGCTCGTCACACGTGGACTCACGACCGGTGAAATGAGCTGCGACTTTAATTCCAAAGACAGTTTACTTAGTGTTCCAAGTCATGGATAGAGTAAAAATGTAATTGTAATCAATAATCAAAACTATACTAAATTTAGTATTATGACGTTTTCATACTACTTCTGGATATTTGGATTAAAATTCGTGCATACATCCACCTTTGTATTTCTGAATGTCTGTATTACCAATAGTTTGGAGTTTTAAAAAGTGACTGAAAACTGAGAGATTCAATAAAGATTAAATGGTTTTATTGGACTAGAAGAGTTTAATACGCAACTACAGATTTCACTAAATGTTAATTATTACATAGAAACTAAATAAAAGATAAGCTATACTATGATTAGTTGTATTAAGATTTTAATAATGCCAGGGTCAATACATGACCTAATAGACAACTAGTTTATTATTTCGATGAATGAGTTATCCTGAGGTAAATGTATTCACACGATGTAGACTGCTAGCAAATAAAATTAACTATTTATTAACTACTATTGTATTTGGAAAATTCGGGAAAAGTAACCCGAAGTATTAGAAATGCAACAATATTTCATAGTTTGTCGAAAACATCAACACAATTGTTTTTTTTAGTAGCGCTGTTTCCTATGTTCGTTTCAATGATATAAAATTTGTACCAAAATAACTATTACACAATTAAAACTACACCACAACAATTTCAACATTTATTTTACTTCATATACAGATATACCTCTTATCATAGCGATACATTAACCTGAGTATTTTTTAAGGAAAAAAGTAATGATAAATATATTCTTTGTTATATCCCAATAAGTGAAAAAATTGTATTTATGACGTTTCGTGACTTAATGTAATCCACTTCTTCAGACTAAATACTTATTTATTATTAACTTTCTACCCAATGCTCAACTGATTTGAAATTTTCAAGTTCAACCTTGGTATTGAAAAATACAATGTTTGCATTTTCTAGGGAATAAACAATAACTAAGCTTCAGGTAGCTTCATCAGAAGAATTATTATGATTACTGTCTTCGTCCTCCAAGCCAACCGTACGAATATCAATCATTTCTAACACTTGTCTGAGAGTAGCAGAGAACGTTCCCGCTGCTGCACGTACGATTCCACCAATACTACCAGAAGCATTTTCACTGACTGTTGGTGCACCAGAAGGACCACGAAGAGCCAATTCAGCATTTATAGAGCTTGAGGGTAAGAATGATGATAGAAGACCGTTGAGAAATCCACTTCCAGCCATAGTTTCACGAATGCGACGTCTATAGGAAATGTATCAAAAATGTTTAGCTTTAGAACAGTATCTACAGCATCAGAGATAAAGACTAAGAGAATAATTAAGTCCTAAAATAAAAGTCAACTGTATGGTTAATAGTGTCCGATAGTAAAAAAAAAAACAAACACTTGAAAACGTAGATAAAACAAACCAAATAACTATTAGCATGATATTTTTCGACTAACCTTTCTTCTTCTGGATAGTAAATATTGATAGAGCTTCTGGGTGGGATAGGATCGAATGCATAAATAGGAGAACTTGTTAAATTCTAAACAAAAAAATTCGGCACAGGAACAGAGGTTTCTATTAAGCGCCAAAAAGCCAAATACATAAGTAAATTTATATAAATTAGTAGTGTTTTGTATTGCACTCTTTTGTAATTTCTTCACGGCATTCATATTTGCGCACGAACTGTCGAAAAAGTTGTATATTATGTACGCCCTGACATTTGCTACATTCATATCTACATTCCTAAAATATCTAGCTAAGACTTTAGCGGATTTGACCTGGGAAGAGTTGGTTTTTGCTGTTTAAGTGGTCGACTTTGAACTAATAGGCTGCAGGTTTGAACCCTGAACATTCACTTCAATTTTGGTACCAAGGTCGTATCATTAAGTTTTATATCTCAAGTATACTCCAAAGCTAAGTATACAATTTTATATTTAGCAAATAAATTACACATTTGGCCGATGATGAAGTAAAGCTCAATATTAGCCAGCATTGATACAGTCGGTCAAACTGGTTAAGTAACCTGATCGATACTAGTTAATTAAGTCCAGGTATCACCGTAACAAAAGGATCTAAACCGAATGAATTTCAATAAAACGCTTACTAAACCGTCAATAATTCTTGAGTGAACTGCAAGCCGTTAAGAAGGCAAAAGACAGAAAGTTTGTTTCCCAATCTAACCGATAATACTACAGGAAAAACTATATAAGTGTTTATGGAATTTCTTGTTTTGGTGATACGTCAATTAGGAATCCACTTATGGAGCTTAGTTAAACGGTACGCACGTGACTTAAAAACTAGAGATAGCAATCGTTTTAAAAATTCTTTTTCACCTGACGTTTGTCAGATTTTCTGGAAATATTTCACCTACCAACAGATATTCTGCTTTGTAAAAGACTTTAATCCTTGTAGTTATCGTACCGTTATTGGAACATTCGTATGAAATTATCACACATCCACAACTCTAAATACAAGACACCTAATCCTACATACTAAAGCTACTATATTGCATACTGCATGACTACCTTACGAAGCTACAGTTAGAAATTATAACTTCAAAACTTCCAATAAACTGGAAGCTAATGGATTATATATTGGATTTGGAAATGTCAATGGTAGGAATCGAAAAAGCTGATAATAAGAGTAAGTAATTACCAGAATCTTGGGATCTCGTCTTTTGATTTAGAATTAAAAAGAGACATAAGTGGTATACTATAAATATTTTTCACAATGAAAATATCTATCAAGTTCCTTATTCAATATTTGCTGCAACAATATTAAGTAGTACAGAAACATTTTATAACAGTTGTTTTTGTTAAAATTTTATAGAAAAATTTGTTTAACTGGTAGATCACTAACTCTGGGTAAAATGGGTGGAGCTTCAGAAACTTCGGACAAAATCAGGTGCCTCAAAATCTTCGGTGGGAAAGCAGGATAAAGAGACTTACGTCTAAATGAACAAAGAAGAAGAAAGGTCAAACGGTTTCATTATTTTAATAAGGTTGTTTGGTGAATTATCTACGTAAAAACTGGGGAATAGACTTGATATTAAATACAAATATTCAGCAAATTTTCTTAAACTACAGTTTTTTTGTGAGTAATCTTTAGGGAGTTTTAGTTACATCACAGGTTGCAGTTATATGTAACATTTCCAATCAATCTATTATGTCCAACACTCATCCATTTATCCTTCCATTTGGTGTGTGAACGCTGCACCTCATTCGAGGTTTCTTTATGACCGTTAACTTTTATTATATTCGTGTGTTTTACCAAGCATACTAAGCTATAATACACTAACAGATTCGGTTTGGGCACTCGGGCAGTATCACAGCCCTCTCGCAAATAAATGAAATGGAACATTCAGCTGACAATTAGATTCTCGTTCATACAGGAAACAATTCAATTTGCATTATTATTATTATTATTATTATTATTTACCATATCGCTAATTCACCCCTTTTATCCCCAATTTGTGTAACCTTACTTTTCATCTTATGCAGCAGCTCGCTCTTGGTGGAAAATCTGTCCTATCTAAACGATCTCCAGTCACTGTCTGGTTGAAAGTGAATGCTTCCACCGATCATGAATACTGAAGCAGTCTTTCTGAAACCACGTACGCCGTTCAAGCTGACTTCCTTCAACGTTCGCACAGTAATGCAGATCAGACAACTGATAGGGCTGGCTATGTCTTTGGAAGGTCTTAATGTTGACGTTTGTTGTCTATCCGAGACCCGTATTCAAGACTCTAGTGAAGTACTACAAATCCGCTCTCCATCTGTCGCCTCGAAAAGCTTGTTTCAAGTGCGCTTATCCGGGGACCCTGTGGCATCTTCGTCTGGTCTTGCTGGCGTTGGTGTCGCACCAAGCGCTAGAGCTGAGGCAGCACTAATCGACTGGATCCCCATTAACAGTCGGTTATGTGCTGTTAGATTAGAAAGTTCCATCAAAGTGAGAAGAAATCGGCGTGAGAATCGGTATCTTTTCGTCATCTCCGCCTATGCCCCGACAGATTGCAGCCCGGATGCAATCAAGGATGAGTTTTACCATCAGTTAACAGTTCTTCTCCAGAAAGAGCGTTCGACAGATATTGTAGTACTAGCCGGAGACTTGAATGCGCAGGTCGGGCGTCTAGGCACAGAAGAGAGTCGTCTAGGTGGCCGATGGGGACTTGTTGGTCACAGGACAGATAACGGGGACCGCTTGCTGCAACTGTGCACAGACCACAACCTGTTTCTGGTCAGCACCAACTTCCGGCACAGTCATCGCCGGTGTGCTACCTGGCGTCCTCCCTCTGCATCCCAAGCCTGGACTCAGATTGATCACATCGCGATCGGCTACCGCTGGCGTGGTTGTGTACAAGACTGCCGCTCCTTTTGGAGTACCTATCTGGAGTCTGATCATGCCCTGGTCTGCGCCAATCTCACCTTACTTTTCAGTGGCCGAAAGATTGACCACCACCAACGGATCGATGTTAGTAAACTGGCTGCAACATCTGTTGCAAGTAAGTATCGAGCGGAGCTAGCCTCTAGGCTAGCTACCACCCCACCGAAAAGTATAGATGACCATTGGTTGCATCTTCACGACGCCATGAAAATGGCAAGTAAAGCCGCTTGCGGCTTCGCGAAAAGTCCCGCTTACAAGCACTGGGTTTCTTCTAACTCCTTACAACTGATGGAAGCCCGTCGGTCTACTCCGAGTGACCGTGAGTGTGACCACAAACGAAGGCTGTAACGTAATGAAATCGAGCAAAGCTTGCGTAAGGACCGGGAAGCCTGGTGGTCGGAGCGTGCTAATGAGATGGAAGCAGCAGCTGCATCTGGTAACTGCCGGAAGCTCTTCCAACTCATCCGAGCCACTGGCAGCAAGAAGTCTGGTGTGAGTGAAACAATCTACGAGGATGACGGGATGCCAATCACTAACATCTCTCGACGTCTTGGACGATGGGTTGAATTTTTCGAATGGCAGTTCAATTGGCCTGCTGCTCCGGCAACATCGACCAGTTTGTCCTGCCCCCCATGGCCGGTGACGACCGATCCACCAAACGAGGCGGAAGTCCTCAAGGAACTCCAACTCTTGAAACGTTACAAATCACCGGGCCCAGATGACTTACCTTCGGCTCTTTTTAAAGATGGTGGTGACTTTCTGGCTAAGGAACTGACTGCGTTGTTTGGAAAGGTTTGGGAGGAAGTAAGTGTTCCAACATCATGGAATGAGTCGATAGTCGTCCCTATCTTTAAAAAGGGTTCACGTTGTTCCTGTGATAACTATCGGGGGATAAATCTTCTTCCGATTGCGTCCAAACTATTGGCTTCTATCATTCTTCGTAGGTTGTTTAAAACCCGAGAACGATTGACTCGCGAGGAGCAGGCTGGTTTTCGTTCTGGTCGAGGATGCATTGGTCACATCTTCACCCTCCGCCAAATGTTAGAACAACGTCATACTTATCGCAGGCCAACAATCGTAGTGTTTCTTGATATCAGGGCGGCCTTCGATTCGTTGGACAGGACTGTTCTCTGGGATTGTCTATTGAAGAAGGGTGTGCCTGAGAAGTTCATTTACATCTTAAAGGCCCTGTATACGAACACCTCAGGCAGAGTGAGGGCATACAACCACCTTTCTCCCTTGTACATTCGAGCAGCGGGGTTAGGCAGGGTTTCCCAATCTCACCATTCCTCTTCAACTTTGCCATCGACGACATCCTAGAAACAGCTCTGATGGATGTAAGTAATGGCGGTGTGGATATGTTACCTGGAGAACGACTTCCCGACCTCGAGTATGCGGATGATATTGTCTTACTGTGCGATAATGCCCAAGGCATGCAATCCGCACTTAATCAGTTGGCAATCAGTGTCCGCAAGTACGATATGTGCTTTGCACTCTCCAAGTGCAAGGTACTCATACAAGATTGGCAGGATTCTCATCCTGTACTCACCCTGGATGGTGAGCAGATTGAAGTAGTTGAGAAGTTCGTGTATCTAGGTAGCTATATAATTGCTGGTGGTGGCGTGAGTGATGAGATTGATGCACGTATAAGAAAAGCCACAGCGGTTTATGTCAATCTGGGCCATCTTTGGCGCCTTCGTGATGTTAGTCTGGCTGTAAAAGGTCGGATCTACAACGCGTCGGTGAGAGCAGTTTTGCTCTATGCTTGTGAAACCTGACCTCTCCGAGTTGAGGATGTTAGACGTCTCTCTGTGTTCGATCATCGTTGTCTCCGAAGGATTGCTGACATTCAGTGGCAACACCATGTTAGTAATGCAGAGGTTCGGCATCGTGTGTTCGGGCGCCGAGACGATAATTCAATTAGTGTCATCATCTTGAAACACTGACTTTGGTGGCTTGGACATGTTTTACGAATGTCGTCCCAGAGATTTCCACGTCGTGCATTATTTGCCGACTCTGGGACTGGTTGGAGAAAGCGGAGAGGAGGTCAGTGTATGACATGTTGTCGTGGCATGAAAGAGAGCTGCAAAGGGCTAGCTTTTGTTGGTCCTTCACGACTCCCTGGCTGGGGTCCGAGAGATGGTGCAACACAGTGGCTAGAGACGTTATCAGATATGGCTCAGAATAGAAGCCAGTGGCGAGCCTGCCGTAACCTTCTTCTACTTTCTTCATAAAGAGTGGCTATAACTTTCTTAACTGAGAGAGCTCTTCTGGTTGTACATTCAGTTCCCCCCATCATTACTCTTCTCCTTTTCTTTTTTTTCCTTCTTTTATATATACGCATCTTCTTCCTTCTCCCATTCTCATTATTTTGTGTGGCGCATATGTATCCGGTGCCCTTTGTACCAATATATATGTGATTAAATAAATAAATAAATAAATAACAGATTCATAGCAGAGTTACAGATAACTCCAGACGTTTGAAATGGAAAAGATAGGGAAAATCTCACTCTGATATGCAGTATCCATTGTCTAAACGAGCAGACAAACGACTGAAAGTACTTGATTCAATATTTCTATTGAACATTTAAACGTTGAGGATAACTTCAGTTGACTTGACTAATTTGATTAAATACCTGTATACAAGGTTACAAGCTCGGTTTTGTACTATATATTTTATTTGGAAGCAAGTCATAATTACAGTATGGACAGCAGAACAATATGGAAACTTCTTCGACGTTATGGGGTTCCTGAGAAGATTCTCAACATTATCCATGACTGATACGACGGACTACAGTGCAGAGTCGTGCATAGAGGACACCTAACAGATGCGTTGTCAGTAAGGATCGCAGTCAGATAAGGCTGTTTACTCTCCTTCTCCATCCTTCTTCTGGTGATTTACCGGATTATGAAAACCTCGACATCTGACAGGAAGCACGGAATACAATGGACACCTCAGAATCGATTAGATGATTTTGATTTCGCAGATGACTGAGCCCTCCTATCCCATACACACGAGCAAATAGAAACGAAGACAACAAATGTAGCAGCAGTCTCTGCATCAATAGGCTCCAACATACACAAAGGATAAAGCAAGATTCTCAAATACAACACGGAGAACATCAACCCAATCACACTTGATGGAGAAACTCTCGAAGATGTAGGAACATTCACGTACCTTGGAAGCATCATTGACGAACAAGGAGGATCTGATGCAGACGTAAAGGTAAGGATTGACAAAGCAAGGGCAGCATCTATACAGTTGAAGCACATGTCGAACTCAAAACAACTGTCAACTAATTTCAAAGTGAGAATCTTCAATACGAACGTCACGACAGTCCTACTGTACGGAGCTGAAACGTGGAGAACTACTACATCCATCATCAAGAAGGTACGTGTATTTATAAATAGTTTTGTACGCAGGATACTTAACGTTCACTGGCCGGATACCATCAGCAACAGCCTTCTGTGGGAGAGGACAAACCAGCTTCCAGCTGAAGAGGAAATTAGAAAAAGACATTGGAAGTGGGTAAGACATACATTGAGGAAATCACCAAACTGCATCACGAGGCAGATGCTAACTTGGAATCCGGAAGGGAAGTGGAAAAGAGGAATGCCAAAGAACACATTACGCCGGGAAATGGAAGCAAATATGAAAAGGATGAATAACAACTAGAAAGAACTGGAAAGGGTTGCCCAGGACAGAGTTGAATGGAGTATACTGGTGGGTGACCTATACTCCTCAACGAGGGATAACAAGCGTAAGCAAGTAAGTGATAATTACTTTGCTGATAAAAAAGTATGTAGACCCCAGTTTGAACCGGTTATCCTGTGGTAAACAAAATGAAATGACGTTAACGAATTGAGCCGATTTCATCATCTTAAAGTGAACAGTATAATATTGTAAGGATATCTTTGAATTAAAAATTAACATTCTGAGTTGTGAATGATAACGAACATGTCATGGTCTATGATAATCTCCCATCATTCTAGCCAAATTGAGCGGAACAGCGTGTTGAACCTTCAAGTTAATGGTTATGTATTTAGATTATGAAGCATCAAATACCGAATACTACGGGTTAATTCAGTTGGTAATCTCAGCACTTACCACTATCCAGGTCGTAAATATACAAGTAAAAATTAACATTCTGAGTTGTGAATGATAACGAACATGTCATGGTCTATGATAATCTCCCATCATTCTAGCCAAATTGAGCGGAACAGCGTGTTGAACCTTCAAGTTAATGGTTATGTATTTAGATTATGAAGCATCAAATACCGAATACTACGGGTTAATTCAGTTGGTAATCTCAGCACTTACCACTATCCAGGTCGTAAATATACAAGTAAATATTTATAAGACACTTTATTCAAAAATCATCAATTACCATGTCTATCTTTATTGCTACCTTAATTCTGGTTTATGTGGATCATTAAGATTCGCAGAACATTTGCACTTTGTAGTACATCTATATATCCATAACCAATTTAGCTCACACAATAGCTTAGCATTTTTACATATCACGTCTGATATGAATGTATTCGCCCAAGCAAACCAACAAACACATTAAAGTATGAGTCTCACACTCGGCCCTACCACATAAGGTGTGACCACTTATTTGAAGACCAGATCACTGATTCTCAAATATGAACTTTGCTCCACTAACGTCAGCTTGGACAGCCCAATAGTGGCATTACCTTTCATATGAATCTGACTTAAACCTAAGTGAAATAAGTTGGCAGTGGACATTAAAAAAATTAACTATTGCAAACCCTAATAAGGATAACAATAAAGCATTAACAAGACATCCAAATACTTCAAAATCCGTGATCTCTCTGCTTTTCGTGTTGAATTTATGTCTTAATTGTATCAGTAAATATACTTTAAGAATATGGATAATATATATATATATATATATATATATTCAGTATTGTCATCTAACGTCATGAAATGATCACGGCGTATACTCAAAAAACAATAAACAACTCAGTCAATTTATGTTATATAAAATTAAATGTTTCGTCTCCTGTCCCGGTAAGTGGGATTTTTATGGACAGTTGATGTAATTTACACGGATATTCAACTTACTATCGTAGTGAAAGTTTATTGGGTTTTAATTTGAGCAAATATATTTCCTTCTCTGTTAAAGATAAAGTTTTGCTGTTATCATGTCGAATACTAGAAAACCTTCCGTTCACCTGTTACGTTACAAAATGTAAAAACACGACTCAGTAGAACGTTTTGTATCCTTACTGATGTCACGCTAAAAAGATTATTAATGTGTTTGATGCCACAAACAATTGTTATTAATTGCCTTAACATAGTTGAAACGGCGAAAAGTTGTATAAAAATGTAACAACATTGCATAGTATGGAGGATATATGGGGATGATAATAAAATCAATATAATCAAAGCAAATATTACTAAAATAGTGCTCACCTTTTGGAATATTCAGAAAGACGTGGATCAATAGTATTAGACTCAGAAAGATGAACTTTTTTAGGTTCAACCAAAGTTAAAACAGTGGCAATATTTTTTTCCAGCCACGGAAGGACGTTGGGTGAGGACCAAAGAGGATGCATGCGAGCGACATATAGACTTAGTAAACAACCAAGACTATCTGATTCGCTTATAAAAATAAAACGAAACAAGAGAGTACGGCATTCAGTAATAAAAACTTTCAGCAACATTACATCAATATTATTGCAACGAGGTAGAACCACGTTGGATTCGTCAAATTCTTTCAGTCTAAAGTCAGTTACCTGGTACGTGGAGATCTTAGCAACTTGAAAGCGTGACCGCAGAGCCCAAGAGACAACTGCTTGAAGGTGGTCGCCCACGGTCTTTAAATGGGAAGTTTTTGATGTGTTAGCTACGCAATTCAAAACGCCGTACCACCGAAGACGGACATTCGTGGGGTAGGGTGAGGTTTGACAATTTTTAGGGTTGAATCTTTTTAACTCCCTCTTTCCGCTATGAGAAGCAGATGGTTGTCAGTGGGAACACTTTACTGCCATCATACCCCTCTACAGTCAGTAGTAAGACTTCGCCCTCGGGCCTAACGTTGCTGCTTTTAGTCTTACCGTTCTTTAACCGACCTGCTTGGTATGGTGAGATCTAAAGCGACATGTGTTCCCACCAATACAACACAGCTGAGTCATCATGATAGGCAAACACGACCACCATGTCAAGGTAGCAGCTACGGTTGGGGAACTAAATCACACATACTTGGATGTTCAGAAATATTGTAGTGAACAAGAACACAAGTGGGGACAATCGAATGTATTTGAACGCAAAATTACAGAACATCTTAGTAAAATCTGAGAACCATACTGTAAATCCTTAATTTGCAAAATGCCAATCAATTGTCTTAAACTGGATTGTTCCTTTTGCAAATGTCAGCCAATTGTCTCAGAGTTGATTGTTCTTTTGTTTCCAAACCAATCATTCGTTGTTCTCGTTCTCTTTTCCTTAATCTTATTAACCTTCTGCCTCCAGGCATTTCATTTCCCATTGATGACACATACTACTTATATCTGTCGACATCAGTAGCATACACCACAATATAATCACTTAAAATACGATACCAATAATATTCTCATGTATTACTCAGGATAAATGTAGATGCAAATAACTAAGAATATATCATTTATGACCGAATAAGATATATGAAGCTTGTTATTTATTGATGACACCAGAAATTGCTGAATATACGATAGCTGACTAAATTGTAATAGTTACTAGATATTTCAAATTTTAAGATAAAAACGAACGTTCATATGGCCTTATTCTTCACAAAATTGATAATTCATCCTTAAGTTGGAACTAAAGTAGAAAACTCAAAAAATATGACAAGATGCTCATGATGAAAATTCATTAAGGTATATACAGATACTAAGTTAATTATAGTAACAGTTGAAATATGCTCAGATACAGTACTACAAAATGAGACTAGTTATAGAATAAAAATATTACGCAGAATATTCAATCATATGACAACTTTTCCATTGTCTAAATTTCATTCTAAGAATTCACTTAATGAACTGATGGTGTACAAAACGTCGAATGGTGAGGCAGTAAGCAGTTAGTAATTGGGCATTATACAAATGGTTTTGACTAGAAATTCTAACCAAAAATGTGCATAGGAAATATCGTGTGAATGATGTTTACATTACTTGCAAAACACTTGATTAACTAATAATGGTTATCAATTAGATAAGGAGCTATGAATTTACTAACAATGCATCGACGTATTATCAAATAAACGTACCTCAATAGGACTTCTTTTCCAAAAAGGATAGATTTTTCAAGATTTGTAATACCGCCAATACTTGTATGTTTAAGTAAACGCGACACAAATCCGGGAAACATGATTAAAGCATCTTGCAACTAAAAGGTACAGATGTATACAGCTAAAACTGATTTCGTAAAAAACACTTAGACGATATTCGTTTCATCAGATTAATTAATGTCTGTAACGCAAAAAATCACTGTATGAAGAAATGAACTGATATAACAAATCATGAAAGCAAAGAATGAAATACTAATGACAAGTAGGACCGACTACTTTACAAATTTTCACCGAAATCCAAAGGACATTCGGAAAAGTTCCATGAACACTGAGGCGAAGACACAAAATAAGTCACTGATAGCAAATTAATCCATATTCATTAGTCCACGAATTACTAACTACTGACTTCGGAAGAAAGATCTCTTTTAGTTTTCAACGAAGTTTGCAGCGACGTGATCTCAACAATGAAACTTACTTCCAATTGCATGGCTATAGAAAACTTTAGGTTGATAAGTATACTGAGTACTAATAGATCAAATAGTTTGCGCCATTCTTTCATTTCTTATAAGATGAGAGATCATTCACTAACCCAATCCAAACTTAGAATGATGCATTTGAAGTTACAAAAAAACGTAAACCAATAATTGGTAGCGGACAAAGTTTTCAGCTAAATAAGACATAAGAAGTGTGTGATCAAACCGTTAAATTATGTCAACATATGACTTCAGCGATGCCAATCGACACAGTTTGAATAGTATGAACTAACGTCTGAATAGCTTCGTGTTAGCTCTTTCAAGTCAAGCTTCTAAACAACCATGGAACCTTCCACAAATACTAATATAGTGATAAGTCTTGAAAGAAGACAATTTTAAAGTATTAAGTATTTATATACTTAAAAGAAGCCAGTGAATATTTTAAATACATCCATCAGAATGATGAAATAACTGACCGAATCGAGTTTATTCAAAATCCTATTCAATGGGTAGTCAGTAAATAAAAGTGGACATCTTGAAGCATTAAAGCTTAACTCTGTCACAAAATGCGTTTCAAAAAAGATACTGATCAGCTAGCAAAATATCACCATCAATATGATAAATTAAACTAAGTAATTTATTTAAAATAATTGGTATGAACGAATGCTAGGTAATATGTAGTAAAAATGTATAAAGAAACTATTCAAGCTTATTTTTGAAGGCAAACATAATAGGGAGAAATTAAGACAAATTAAATCTATGATTGCTCAACTAATACATTAAGAAACCCATATACCAATGGAAATCAAACATACACACTTACAGATTCATCCACACTCATCTTGTTTCCATCACATTTCTCTGGATCTTCGCCAATTAACTTACGAGCCAATGGTATAGATAAACCAAAATTGGGAAGTAAGTACAAGTTGCGCGAACCCTTTAAGTAGGCAGTAGAAACGTTGGATACTTTTTAATGGCTTCAAAAATAAACACTGGGTTGCAATTTTTAAACCATTTAAATTCAAATTTTTAGCCCTACGTAATTAAAAATCCGCAAGACAACGCACAGTAAATTTTGAATAATTAAGTGAACGACATGATTAACGAAGTAGAAATTCAAATCAAACCTGCAAACATGAAGGAAAGGTAACAGGAGAGGATTCAAGCGTGAAAATTGTAGGTCACATGTAAGATCAGTACCTAAATACAGTGGACAGAACAAAGCGTATTGATAAGCAGACTACAATAAAATAACTGACAATCGGAAGTTGTTGTGTCAATTATACATCAAATGGTCTAAGTGAAACTTAATCAAAACTACAGGAAGGTGAAGAAAAACTTGGAAAATGACTAAAATTTCGATGTAAACTAAAGGATTATTATGAAGTGAAATAATTAAGCAATACAATGGTATATCCACCCTTCATTACAAGATAATGAGTAAATACGTATACAAAGACGCGATAAACACTGAGTCAACTCAAATAACACATAACAATCAACAACCTCTACCAATTTAACTAACGAGAAATGGAACCAAACAAATTTATTTTAAATGTACCTTAAGCCATTCTGTAGACGGTAATATACAATAAGTACCTTAAAAATGTAGACTGAAACTGTCACTGTTTTTTGAGTTACAATGGCAGGACAATTTGAGCACTAATTACAATACTTTTGGGATAAATAATGAAATAGGTGAGAATGTCAACCGACCGCTAAACTAGCTTGATGAAATAAAACCCCGAAAATATGTCTTGATATTTGTTATCATAAGTTTTCTATGAAAACGTGAGTATTCATCTAGCTTTAAATATGCTCTCGAACGAAGATTTAATAGAAGTGAGATTTGGGTACAATAGATATCATTTCGTGATTATAATCACAAAAACTGTAAACTTTCAAGACCTACTGAAGACATCCAACATGGTTATGTGGTCAAACATTAGAAAGTGAGACTGATTAGTCTCTTTTTATTATCAACCTTGATAAATAAATGTATCACGAATTACGAAAATGCAAAGTACTATTACGAGATTTACAGAAGCCCTTTCTAAAACTCACAGTTGATGGTAAAGAGTGAGAAACAATTGAAAAATTTGTTTATCTAAGTAAATGTAACTGGTTGTGACAATAGTAATCTCAAAACAATTAAAACCATGTCACAGGTTAATAAGCTTCATCTCTGAAGCTATTAAAGGCAGTTATCTGGTGTTAGAGAGCTGAAAGTACAAAGCTTTGAGCCATGTAGTTCTGCTTCATGTTTACTTAGTCTCTACATTACATAGACACTGTGCTAATGGTATTTGTGCTGCAGTCTTTTAACAGTGATACATAGAAGAACGAAGGTTATCTACATCTGTCTTATGCGACCAATATTTTTGTACTGATAAATTTTTTTATTTTTTCTATCTTCAGAGTTATGCAACATGATGTCTAGAGTATCTTTTTTTATGTTCACTAGATACAGACTGATCCCTAAATAATAGTAGTAGGCATAAAAACAAATCAAAACTATTAACAATAATCAAAAATGAAAAATGCTCTAACAAAATAGGCTTATCATTTTGGAACTTACATTTAGGCTATCATACAAATCAATTAGGAATCTATACTGCCTAGAGTAAATAGCATAACAATCTATCATAAGTAGAACCGTCAAAGGATCATCTTCATAATCAAGGCTACAATACAAAACGAATCAAATTAAGTTATTTCACAATCTATAGGCTGAGATAATACAAAATTTAATAATGTAATTAATCAAAACTGCAACAAAACGGTGCACAGAAAATTTGATATACAGAACATTTTTCATAAAAACTGAATTATTGTTGCCTTTATTAGGTTTTGATTTCAAGTGTACCAACCTAAACTAATGCATCACTGTACTTAACCTTTTTTTCAGTTCATTTATACGGAAAGTGACCAACATAACACTTCACTTCAATCCTCAACCGTATAATAATTTTCTTACAACGACAGCCCATACCATTTTAACTAAAGAGAAATGGAACCAAACAATTTTTTTTAATGTACCTTAAGCCATTCTGTAGACGGTGATATGCAATAAGTACCTTTAAAATGTAGACTGAAACTGTCACTGTTTTTTGAGTTACAATGGCAGGGCGTTTTGAGCACTAAAGATTTTGTTCAGATGACAAAATATAAATGGTTTCATAATTTCACAACCAACATGAGCAAGCTACTGGTTGACCCAGCACTACAAAAGGCATTTGAATTACTACACTGATTCTTAGGGATTGAGAATGATTTCTTGCTGACGTCAGTAAAATCGTATTGGATGGCAACCATGACTGGTAAACAAACCGTTTTTTTCATACTTAAATGAAAGCGAAATACGTTATAATTTTCAGACGTTACAAAGGTCAAATAAACACAAAAGCAAGTGACCTATCAATTTTAGGAAGCAGTGATATTTTGGTTCACTATAAGAGAGACAAAGGTGAAGAAGATATGTACATTGCAGTACACAGAAAATTACTCTATGCTTGTATCGCTAGATCAAATATTTAAAGTAATATTAGGTATACAGAAAGTTTTAATGAATATGAAATATTTCACATAGTCTATGTAGTAACACTTCTGTTCGAAAGTAAATCAATCTTTATCTGTGCCGAAAATTTTATTATAATACCATTTTGAACTGAATTATTTAAACAAGCTAGAAATTTTAATTCATGATCGCTAAAACATCCTAGTTGAATGAGTCTAACTAACTCATTAGGCCACTTACTGAGCCTGGCCCACAACTATTGTCTTCATAGAAAAACAACGGATCTTTAATAATCTGTGCCGAAATTTTAACGGAGCTTCAGAACATTGTCATATCCACTCTTATCAAAGGGTGACATATTAAGTAGATTTTATTTCGCAAGCCTTGACCGAGAAAACTGATGCTTACTGAAAGACATTGCCTCACAATACCACGACTTCTGGACTATAAGGGTACACCATAGTGTATCTAGGATACCCAAATGAAAACTGAAGCTGATAGACACCATTACATCTGATATTGCGAGTATATCAGTTTCTTGATGGTTACAAAAATTGCCGTAACACACTCGTAATAAAGTTTCGACAATATGTTCAGGCCCCGCCATGAAGTATCGATTTTCGAAGGAATTGAAATAATTATTCTTTATTTTCGATCTCTGTAAACACCAACTAGACCCTAAAAGCTTGAGCTATTCAACAAATGACAGGACCTAAAAATATTTTTTCATTTACATACCTTCTCAGATACAAGTTAGCTCTCCCAGACCGTAGCTGCTACCTTGAAGTGGTGGTCGGGTTTGCCATATGTTCCTGCAGGTTTTACGATGCCAGACAGGTCGACTGGAAAACGGTAAGACTAAGAGCAGTAACTAAAGGTCTTAGGGCGAAGTCGTACTGCTGACTGTAGAGGGGTGTGACGGCAGCAACATGTTTCCCTCGGACAACCAGTATCTGCAGCGATACTGCCTTCTCACAAGGAAGAAAAGGGTTAGGAAAGGTCGACCCTAAAACTGCTACTCCTCACCTTACCTCACAAGTTTCCGTTACCAGCGGTAAGGCCCTTTAAAGAACAGAGCTAACACGTCGAAAATCCTCCACAAAAAGACCGTGCATGTACCTTTTTGATGATGGATGTAGTAGTTCTCCACGTTTCAGCTCCGTACAGTAGGACTGTCGTGACGTTCGTATTGAAGATTCTCACTTTGAAATTAGTTGACAGTTGTTTTGAGTTCGACATGTGCTTCAACTGTATAGATGCTGCCCTTGCTTTGTCAATCCTTACCTTTACGTCTGCATCAGATCCTCCTTGTTCGTCAATGATGCTTCCAAGGTACGTGAATGTTCCTACATCTTCGAGAGTTTCTCCATCAAGTGTGACTGGGTTGGTGTTCTCCGTGTTGTATTTGAGAATCTTGCTTTATCCTTTGTGTATGTTGGAGCCTATTGATGCAGAGACTGCTGCTACATTTGTTGTCTTCGTTTGTATTTGCTCGTGTGTATGGGATAGGAGGTGGGTGACCGGCCTAAAACAGTTGTCCCTTGAACTCTGTGGTCACGTTCCCAGGTCGTAAAAACCAACATTAATCTAATTTCCTTTTCAGGTCTCTCAAGAAATACCCTTCCACGGTGTGGGCAGCCAGGAAGTGATAAATGCCCTCATATCCGTAACAGCACACGAAACCAAGTTGTTCACAATCAAATCCTTCCTACACCTCCTGATAACTCTCTTATCTTCACGACTAACCCTTTTCACGTCCCTTTATCACCTCGCACCGCTAGGACAAACGATCCGAGCATGCGGAACGCTATTTCTGGTCTCCTGAAACCACGCTCTAAACTACATGTAAGAGCTTTTAGCGTCCGGACACTGCCAAATAGGACAACAGGCCTCCTTAGCTAGGACTTTGGAACCTCGCACAATCGATGTGTGCTGCGCCTTCGAAACGTGCCTACACGATCCGAGTAGTGTCATTCATTTGACCTCACCATGTCAAAATAAAGAACCAACTCGATTCACACTTCGTGTATCTGGAAGCCCTGATGCTGCTTCCCGTGGCCTCGCTGGAGTAGGTAGAGCCTTAAGTCCCATGGCAGAACTAGCTCTTTTAGACTGGATCCCAGTAAACACTCGTCTGTGCGCTGTCCGACTAAACGGAACAGTAAGGACTCGGAAAGATAGGGAAACTCGTCGTTGTCTCTTCGTCATCTCTGCCTACTCTCCCGCTGACTGCAGCTCAGACGATATAAAAGATGAGTTATACAGAAAGCTTTCCGACCTTCTCCGAAAAACTAGGCGTTCTGATGTAGTAATAGTGGCTGGTGACCTTAATGCTCAAGTAGAAAAACTAAGCGAAAGGTAAAGACACCTGGGTGGATCTTATGGTGTCGTAGCTCAAATAACAGATAATGGCGACCGTCTGTTGCAGCTATGCTCAGATAACCGCCTATTTCTTACAAGTACTAACTTTAAGCATAAGGAAAAACATCTTTTGACATGGCCACCCCCGAACGCGTCCCAACGTTGGACTCAACTAGATCACATCGTTATCAGCCACCGATGGGAGGCTCGATAGAAGACTGTCGCTCATTCTGAAGCACGTGCTTAGATTTAGATCATGCTCTAGTGCGAGCGCGTATTTGTCTTTGTCTTACTGGACGTAGGAAAGACGCCGAATTCTAATCTTCTGAATTCTTCATGTCCCTTTCTTTTTCCTCTTTCCAAATTTATTTCACTGGATTATTCTCCTTCAATAACACTTTCAAACCCTAATCTTTCGGATTACTGCTTATACTCTTACTACTTCTAACACTATGGGATTTGAGTCGACAACTGCATCTCTGTGCTAATGTGGTATGGCAACTCGAACTGATTTACGTACGTACGAAGTTCTACCTTGTGACTGACCAACTTACGGATAAGTCAGCTCTCACCCCATCTTTTAACTACACTGTCCACTGAACTACACAATTGTAAAGGATATCCCATGGGACTGGACTAAAGAATAATAACCAGATACTTTTAAGTCGACTACAGTTACAATATTAACACAGGTTATTTTGCTGTATATCTTCAGTCTACTGACAAACGAAGAGACTCATGTAGCTTGAACACCTGGACCAGATTTACAAGCAACGTGGGACAGACGCTGGAGGAAGACGATATACTTTTCGGTAAACTCAAGAGTATAAATAAATTAATGTATTTGTAATATCCCAATGAGTAGAAAAATTAGATTTTCTGACGTTTCGTGACTCAGTGTAAGCCACTTCTTCAGGGAATAAATAACTCTCAATAGAAAGGAAGGCCTTACCATAATAATAATAAATAATAATAACAACAGTAATAGTGAAGTTAGACACAGGGTATTAGGGAATGATGGTAAATCAGTTGATGAGGTTGTAAATCTTCATCGACTGAGATGGTTGGGCCACGTATTACGTATGCCTGAACACCGATTACCACGACTCACTATGCTGATTAGTATAGGGGATGGTAGGAAGAGGGTTAGGGGCGGCAAAACCAAAACATGGCATCAGAGCTTGAAGTCACTAACTTCTAGTCTCAGCCATGTTGGTGGATGCAGACTACTTGGTTGGGGTCCGCGCGAATATCGTAACCAATTTTTGAAGACTGAGTGACATGGCTCAGAATCGACCACAATGGCGTAGGCGTATACACTCTTTGTCTTCCCTTAAACTATGAGATTAAAATTGCTTCATATCTTACTTCTTGTACTACATCCCTATATACAACCTTTCTTTTATATATTATCACCATTAAATTAACTACTATGAATTTGGTGTTGATCTTGTTGTGTTAATGAGGTATGGCAACTTGGACCGGTGCATATATATGCCTGGTCCTACGTTGTAGCTGAATGACTGACTGTTTCACAGCTGTTTTATTTCCAGGAAAAGAAAATAATACAATTTTCAATAAGACTATTAGTCTCGTTTTTAGTACTAACCAACCATCATATGCAACTTTTCACAACGGAAAGATATTTGTCATATAATGTGAAGTTAAAACAACAAATTTCTGTACACTCGATCGATATGCCTGTTTAATCACCCAAACAGTTCTTGGAAAGTTAAAATGTGCCTCGATTTAACCGGTATATTAAAGCTGTCTCAATGACAGTTAATTAAAAAGGATCAAATGATATTACAGATAGATATTTTCTTAATCGCTTAGCGAGCTACGAAATACTTACCTTAACAATAATTTGCAATATTCCAGTGCACTTCGATAACAGCCCCGTTCACTAATTTTCAAGATATAGCGAAAAAGTGCTACAAACAAACCACTTTAGTATTAAGAACAGAATAATCACCAAGACTCACCGATTGACTTGACGCTTAAAGTCTAAACGACAAGAACCACTGAATGGATTAAAAGAAGGATGAAAAGCTGATTGGAAAGCATGGAGTGCGCGTTCTAAAAAATGACGTTATTCAACTAATTCAACTTCGCTCACCCAAAAGATCAGTACCTACAGTCGTATCTTCTTGGTGCATCATTATTTCGCTCAACTGTAGTAAGGAATCTATGTGATAAGGATTTTCATACAATATACCCTGTGAAGAAACTCATAAGATAAAATTCATTCTTACACTCAAATTATTTGGATTCATGGACTCTAAAGCATTGTAAAATGACCTCTGTATATTTTGATATTCTTTACTGTGTACGAAGGTATATAAACCACAACCCAAAGGTTCCATACTCAAGCCAATTCGAACAGTAGGTGGCCAAGTGGATTTTACCGGTACAAGCATACCATGTTTGACGCGACTTCGTTTTCTTCGTAAACATGTTTCGGACCCACCGATAACTTCTGACCCAAACAAACGACTAAGTTCTCCAACATGATTTAACATCTTGATATTTACTTTTAGCAAGTCTATCACTTGTTTACTTTGATCAGCAATCCCTGGTTCATTTGAAAGTTTTATATTATCTAATTGGTAGGTTATTCCAGTTTTCTGCAGAAAACACGGAATATGATAAGGAACAACTTACATCCTTTTGCTTGCTTTTTTTCTTTTTCCGCTTTTTGGATTTAAAAGATTCACATTGATCATGAGAATTGTCATCAGAGGAAGGGATAGTTATCGAATGCGCGGAAAAACAATTGCTGAACTAATACGATAATTGATATGAGTGCAAAGCTCACTTCCGAGAAAACAGAACCTCCGGTGACGGGTTCATCGTTATCACTAAAGTTATCATTGTCATCAAGAGGATTTTCAGAACCTTTCTTCAGTTTACGTAATACTCGGGAAGACATTACGATCAAATAACGAAAGAACTAGAGACAAAAATATCAGTAAAAAGATAAATAAAAATACGTAAGAAAATTTTGACTGACTAGTAAAGGTAACTATGTCATCACAAACAAACTATCCAACAATATTAATTGCAAGTATGTAGATACTCCATAAAATAATTGAATTTCCTCCTACAGTCACTTCAGCTATACCTCATGGCTTCTTCCTGAATAGCCCAGTTTGGAGTCGAGTCATGTAAAGTTCAGTGGACTTACCTTGAATACAAAGGTGTCTTTTAACATCCAGTTGTGAAGTTCAGTGAACAGTGTAGTTAAAAGATGGGGTGAGAGCTGACTTATCCGTAAGTTGGTCAGTCACAAGGTAGAACTTCGTACGTACGTAAATCAGTTCGAGTTGCCATACCACATTAGCACAGAGATGAAGTTGTCGGCTCAAATCCCATAATGGTAGAAGTAGTAAGAGTAAAAGCAGTAATCGGAAAGATTAGGGCTTGAAGATGTTATTGAAGGAGAATAATCCAGTGAAATAAATTTGGAAAGAGGAAAAAGAAAGGGACATGAAGAATTCAGAAGATTAGAATTCGGGAGAACACAAAGAGTGGATGCACCTTCGCCATTGCAAACGATTTTGAGCCATGTCATTCAAGGTCTCTAACCATCGGATGTTATCATCTTGCGGATCCCAATCAACTAGTCTGCACCTACCAGCATAGTTCAGTCCACTTGTCAGTGACTTCATGGATTTGTGCCACGTTTCGGTCTGACCACCTCTAGCTTTCTTCCAACATGCTCCTACACCATAAAACATCGCACGTCGGGGCAGTCGGTGGTTGGACTTGCGTAACATGTGTCCCAGCCATCTCAACTGATGAAGTTTCATTACCTCATCAATAGATTTGCCACCCTTACCTAATACCCGTTTCCTAACGGCCATGTTTCACTTCCATAAAGTAGGACGGACCGAACTGCTACGCATTAAACCCGTCCCTTGGTTGGTAGACGGGTATCTCGCCTACACCATAAATGACTCAAGTTGGCAAAAGCTAGACGAGCCTTCTGTATCTGTGCTGAGATTTCGTCACACACCAGACCACAAGGGCTGGTCAGACTCCCAAGATAAGTGAAGCGGTCGACACGCTCAACTACTTCACTCCTCATCATTAGTTCAGGTGTCGATACAGACCAATCATGAAGTAACATTTTGCATTTCGAGGGGGAGAATCGCATCCCGAACATGCCTGCATTGTTGCTTATAGTGGTCAGAAGACTCTGCATTTTGTCAGCGTCTTCACAAAATAGAACTATGTCATTAGCATATTATAAGTCAACAAGTGAATCTTCAGATAGACGTTCAACTCCTATAAATTTGGATGACCAACCGTTGCTGCTACCTTGACGTGGTGGTCGGGCTTGCCTATCGTGATGAAGCAATCGAGCTATACTGGTTGGAACAATCGTTCCTCAAGGTCCTACCATGCCAGACAGGTCGGTTGAAGAGCTGTCAGACTAAAAGCAGCAATCCCAAGGTCCGAAGGCGAAGTCGTACTGCCGACTGTAAGAGGTGTGACGGCAGTAAGGTGTTTCCACCAGACAACCAGCATGACAGCGATGCTGCCTTCCCACAAGGAGGGGTGGAGTTAGAAAAGGTCGACCCTAAAAATGCACACCTCGCCTTATCCCACGGATTTCCGTCTCCGGCGGTAAGGTCCTTTGAAGAACGGAGCTAACACTTCAAGAATCCACCACAAAAAGACCGTGCGTGACCGGCCTCAAGCAGTTGTCCCTTGGGCACTGCGGTTGCGCATGGTGAGGTCAAATGAATGACACTACTCGGATCGTGTAGGCACGTTTCGAAGGCGCAGCACACATCGATTGTGCGAGGTTCCAAAGTCCTAGCTAAGGAGGCCTGTTGTCCTATTTGGCAGTGTCCGGACGCTAAAAGCTCTTACATGTAGTTTAGAGCGTGGTTTCAGGAGACCAGAAATAGCGTTCCGCATGCTCGGATCGTTTGTCCTAGCGGTGCGAGGTGATAAAGGGACGTGAAAAGGGTTAGTCGTGAAGATAAGAGAGTTATCAGGAGGTGTAGGAAGGATTTGATTGTGAACAACTTGGTTTCGTGTGCTGTTACGGATATGAGGGCATTTATCACTTCCTGGCTGCCCACACCGTGGAAGGGTATTTCTTGAGAGACCTGAAAAGGAAATTAGATTAATGTTGGTTTTTACGACCTGGGAACGTGACCACAGAGTTCAAGGGACAACTGTTTTAGGCCGGTCACCCACCTCCTATCCCATACACACGAGCAAATACAAACGAAGACAACAAATGTAGCAGCAGTCTCTGCATCAATAGGCTCCAACATACACAAAGGATAAAGCAAGATTCTCAAATACAACACGGAGAACACCAACCCAGTCACACTTGATGGAGAAACTCTCGAAGATGTAGGAACATTCACGTACCTTGGAAGCATCATTGACGAACAAGGAGGATCTGATGCAGACGTAAAGGTAAGGATTGACAAAGCAAGGGCAGCATCTATACAGTTGAAGCACATGTCGAACTCAAAACAACTGTCAACTAATTTCAAAGTGAGAATCTTCAATACGAACGTCACGACAGTCCTACTGTACGGAGCTGAAACGTGGAGAACTACTACATCCATCATCAAGAAGGTACGTGTATTTATAAATAGTTTTGTACGCAGGATACTTAACGTTCACTGGCCGGATACCATCAGCAACAGCCTTCTGTGGGAGAGGACAAACCAGCTTCCAGCTGAAGAGGAAATTAGAAAAAGACATTGGAAGTGGGTAAGACATACATTGAGGAAATCACCAAACTGCATCACGAGGCAGATGCTAACTTGGAATCCGGAAGGGAAGTGGAAAAGAGGAATGCCAAAGAACACATTACGCCGGGAAATGGAAGCAAATATGAAAAGGATGAATAACAACTAGAAAGAACTGGAAAGGATTGCCCAGGACTGAGTTGAATGGAGTATACTGGTGGGTGACCTATACTCCTCAACGAGGGATAACAAGCGTAAACAAGTAAATACTTGTTACTGTATGTGAGGAGAATACCAGGGGTGACAGTCATCTACCTTACTGTTTAAAAACATTAACGTATGTAAAGTTTTACTCTGGGTGAACAGAAGAACTTGAGTCATTAAAAATAAACGCTAGCAAGAGAAACATTCTGCAAAACGACTGTATTTAATTAAACATAAACATTGGTACAAGAAGGCACCAAATAGATATGCGTCACACAAATCATTCGATTTTTGTGAGGGCTGGGATACTGCTCGGGTGCCCAAATCAAATCAGGTGGTTTTCTTAGAGGGCCACACGCAGAGCCTTTCAACTGAAGGTCTAATCCACAAAACAGTGGAGCGGCGTAAGGAAATACAGTCCCATGATAGCCGGTGACCAACGTTTGGTTCATACACCATTTGTTCCTCTATAATACTGGGCCCCAAAATACCCTGATGAGGCCAGAAGTGGGAAGGGGCCACCCTCTATCTCGAAATGATCTCACACGGCCACGCGTATACAGCCTCTGCCAGCGAAGTCCTACCCACTGCCTTCTCCTGGAGGAGGTGTTGTTTATGAAGTTCGGAGGACGAAAAGCGAATGTCCGGCGCTTTAACCGGGCCGGTGGACAAGGCGAGTCCACCTAGGGGAATTGGAAAACCCTGATTCCAAACCAGTGGTGCACATGGGCTCCAAGATCCGGAGGGAACAAATGGCGTATGAACCAATTATTGGTCACTGGTTATAATGGGACTGCATCTCCTTACGATGCTCCACTGCCTTGTGGGTCAGACCTTTAAGTCAAAGGCTAGGGGCATGGCCCCCTAAGATAACCACCTGCATCAGCCTGGGCACCACAGCCCTCACGCAAATCTCATGAGATGACAATTACTTCGTGGAATACTATGCTTGCTCGAATCAGAATTCAAACATTTCTCATTCACTTTTAATATTATTACTAGTATTATCAGTTTTTAATACTAAGTCACTTATACTCCTCTATTCTCACTTCATGTACTCCCATTTTTCAACTTATGCAGCAGCTGGCCGATGGTGAAAACTCTGTTCTATCTAAACGATCTTCAGTCACTGTATGGTCGAAAGTGAATGCTTCTACTGAATCAGTCTTTCTGAAACCACGTACACAATTCAAACTGGCTCCCTTCAACGTTCGCAAACTAATCAAGATCGGATAACAGATAGAGCTGGTTATGTCTTTAGAAAGCCTTAATATCGACGTTTGTTATCTATCCGAGACCCGTATTTAAAACTCTGGTGATGTACTGCGAATTCGCTCTCAATCTGTTGCTTCAAAAGGCTTATTTTACGTGCGTTTATCCGGGGACACTGTGACATCGTCTGGCAGATGGAGACTTGTTGGTCACAGGACAGATAACGGGGACCATCTACTGCAACTGTGCACAGACTACAATCTGTTTCTGGCTAACACTAACTTTCGGCACAGTCATCGCCGATGTGCCACCTGGCGTCCTCCCTCTGTATCTCAATCCTGGAGTCAGACTAATCATATCTCGATCAGCTACCGCTGGCGTTGTTGCTTACAAGACTGCCGCTCCTTTGTGAGTACATATCTGGACTCTGATCATTCCCTGGTCTGGGCCAATCTTACCTTACTTTTCAGTGGCCAACGAATTGGTCATCATATACAGATTGATGTCAGCAAATTGTTTGCAACTTCTGTTGCAAGTAAGTATCGAACCGAGCTAGCTTCTAGGTTAGCTACCATCCCATCGAAAAGTATAGATGACCATTGGTTGCAACTGCATGACACCATGAAAATGGCTTAAAAAAGTCGCTTGCGACTTCGCGAAACGTCCCGCTTATAAGCACTGGGTTTCTCCAGGCTCCTTACAGCTCATCGAAGCCCCTCAGTCTACTCCAGGTGAACGTGAGTTTAACCACAAACGAAAGCTGTTACGCAATGAAATTAGGCAAAGCTTGGTAGTCGGAGCGTGCCAATGAGTTGGAAGCAGCAGATGCATCTGGTAACTGCCAGAAGCTCTTCCAGCTCATCCGACCCACTGGCAGCAAGAAGTCTGGTGTGAGTGAAACAATATGTGAGGATGACGGGATGTCAATCACTAACATCCATTGACGTCTTGGAAGATGGGCAGAGTTTTTCGAAAGGCAGTTCAACTGGCCTGTAGCTCCGGCAACATCAATCAGACTGTCCTGCCCTCCATGGCCGATGACGACTGATTCACCGAATGAGGCGGAAGCTCGCAAGGAACTCCAACTAGAGAAACGCTACAAATCACCAGGCCCAGACGACTTACCTCCGGCTCGTTTTAAAGATGGTGGTGACTTTCTGGCTAAGGAAATGACAACCTTGCTTACAAAGGTCTGGGAGCTAGAGGGTGTTCCAACGTCATGGAATGACTCGATAGTTGTCCCTGTCTTTAAAAAGGATTCACGTCGTTTCTGTAACAACTATCGGGGGATAAGTCTATTTCCGATTGCGTCCAAACTATTGGCTTCTGTCATACTTCGTAGATTGTTTAAAACCGGAGAAAGATTTACTCGCGAGAAGCAGGCTAGTTATCGCTCTGGATGGATGGATTGATCATATCTTCACCCTCCGCCAAATGTTAGAACACTGTCATACTTATCACAAGCCAACAATCGTAGTGTTTCTTGACAACAGGACTGCCTTCGATTCGTTGGACAGGACTGTTCTCCGGGATTGTCTATTGAAGAAGAGTGTGTCTGAGAAGTTTATTAACATCTTGAAAGCCCTATATACTAACACCTCAGACAGAGTGAGGACATACAAACGCCTTTCTTCGTTGTTCCATTCAAGCAGTGGGGTTAGACATGGGTTGCCTAATCTCACTATTCCTCTTCAACTTTGCTCTGATAGATATAAGTAATGGCGGTGTGGATCTGTTGCTTGAAGAAAGACTTCTCGACCCTGAGTATATGGATGATATCGTCTTACTGTGCGATAATGCATAAGTCATGCGATCCGGAACTAACCAGTTGGCAATTAGCACCCGTAAGTATGGTATCTGCTTTTCACCTTCGAAGTGCAAAGTACTTCTACAATATCGGCAGGATCCTGTACTCACCCTGGGTGGTGAGCAGATTAAAGTGGTCGAGAAGTTCGTGTACCTGGGTAGCTGCGTAAGTGCTGGTAGTAACGTGAGTGATGAGATTGATTCACGTATAGTGAAAGCCAGAGCGGCTTATGCCAATCTGGATCATCTTTGGCGCCTTCATAATGTTAGTCTGGCTGTAAAAGGTCGGGTCTACAACGCGTCGGTGAAAGTTTTGTTCTATGCTTGTGAAACATGTTCTCTCCGAGTTGAGGATGTTAGACGACTCTCTGTGTTTGATCATCGTTGCCTCCGAAGGATTTCTGACATCTAGTGTCAACACCTTGTCAGTAATGTGGGGATTTGGCATCGTGTGTTCGGGCACAGCGACGATAATTCAATTTGTGCCACTACCTTGAAACATCGACTTCAATGGCTTGGACATGTTCTTATTTATCTTTTTTATTTATTTAAACGCATAAATAATGGTGCAAGGAAGCACCAGATAAATATGCGCCTCACAAATCTCATTCGATTTGTGTGAGGGCTGTGTTACTGCCCAGGTGCCCAGACTGAAGCAGATGATTTTCTTAGGGGGCCACACCCGGAGCCTTTGACCTGAATGTCTGATCTACAAGGCAGTGGAGCATCGTGAGGAGATGCAGTCCCATGGTAGCCGGTGATCAACGGTTGATTCGTACGCCATTTGTTCCCTCAGGGTACTGGAGCCCATGTGCACCACTGGTTTGAAATCAGGGTTTTCCAACTCCCCTAGGTGGAGTTTCCATGTCCACCAACCCGGTTAAAGCGCCGGACATTCGCTTTTCGTCCTCTCACTTTCGTACACAACACCCCCGCCACGAGAAGGCAGTGAGTAGGACTTCCCTGGCAGAGGCTATATATTCGCTGGCCATATGAGAGCATTTCGAGAGGGAGAGGTGACTCTCCCCACTCTCGGCCGTACCAGGGCATTTGGGGGCCATGTTCTACGAATGCCGTCCCAGAGAATTCTACATCGTGCATTATTTGCCAACGCTGGGACTGGTTGGAAAAAGCGGAGAGGTGGTCAGTTTATGACATGGCATCGTGGTATAAAACACAGCTGTATAGGACTGGCTTCCGTTGGGCCTTCCCGACTCCCTGGCTGGGGTCTGAGATATAGTGCAACGCAATGGTTAAAAACGTTATCAGATATGGCTCAGAATGGAAGCCAGTGGCGATCCTGTTGTAACTTTCTTTTACTTTCTTCATAAAGAGTGGTTATAACTTCCTTAACTGAAAGAGTTCTTCTGGTTGTACGTATCTGTGCATCTTACCCTCTTTTTCTCTCCGCATTCTTATTGTTTTAAGTATCGCACTTATATATTGTGCCCCATTGTACCAATATTTATGTGTTCAAATAAATACGTAAATAAATCAGGATACTGGAGCCTATGTGCACCATTGTTTTGGAATAAGGGTTTTACAACTCCTCGAAGCAGATCTTCCACCGACCCGATTAAGACGCCGGATATTCGCTTTCCGTCCCCCCAGTTTTGTAAACAACACCCATGCCGCGAGAAGGCAGTGAGCAGGACTTTCCTGGCAGTGGTTGCATGCACGTGGTCATGACTCTCCACACTCTCGGCCGTACCAAGAAAATCTACAAAGTTAACTATTACAGGAACCAAAAGATCATAACATGCTCTTAAACCAGTCACAATTAACTTCAAAGTAGCAGCTGTTAAAGCCTTATGAGTCTTATGGTCACTTGTGAGGTTTTAGAAAACTCGAGAACATATCTCGAAAAAAGTACGATGAACATCAGACAGTATTTGTAAAGAGGCTCTAAACACTGGTCTCAGAAGCGGCAAGGGGCTGAAGCATCTGAACTTATCTCCACTTTATTACTGCAGGTTAAGAAGTGAACCCATATGGGCTTTTTGTATAGTGTAAGGTGATCCAGTAATGCTGCCAAATGCTTCTTTCATTTAGGACTAATGAGAGAAAACATTACCAAAACTTCGAAACCAGGATTTATTTCATGTTCAGGGATTCCTTATCGGGCTGAGACTACCTGCCGGAAACCTTTGATTATATTTATAAGGCAAGGTGTGGTGATAAATTTGCGAGCGTAATAAGAATTCAACTCTTCTCTTTATTCATGAAGTCGGTCCCCAAATGTGAGTATAGGAAAAAAATACGAGCGCAGTGTACAAAACAGTCTAAATTTCTGAGAAAATCAGTTTGTTATTATGGTCAGAAAGGTTTAGTACAGATTTGTATGCGTATTATCTATAAGCAAATCCATTCTATTTTGTTTGCAACCCACCTCACAAAGCCGTCAACTATTTGACTAAACTGATTCGTAAAAACGCACTTTTTGTCTTTCGAAAACCAATCCATGTTGAACGGATTTATGAAAACTTAACTGTGGTATTGCTACTTGAATATACTAATCCACTTTAAGCAGCGAACTGGACAAAAGTAATATTGTCGCAGTTAAATACTATATACATTCATACTTCCAAGAGAAGGGAAAGAGAAATTAGATTCACATAGTAGGTACTACGTCACATACTTAACATACCAAACGAGTAGCGTCACGCGAAAATATGTTGCCACGATTAGTTGCCAAATTAATGTTCAATATTGAGATATCAAGCTAATGTAAACCAAATGATTTCTTCATCACAAGTTTTTACAAACCAGTTGATTTCTTTGCTCTCCATTCTTGTTGTTTCGGTAGAGATCCTGACAGTTGATAACGTTTATTGGGTGGTAGTTTAGCTTCTCGGCTGCACTAATTTTGGTCAATTTAGTGGGTGCTTATGGATTCGTATTTTCTTAACTCGAGTTAGTTTGTATGTCTCAGAACAGTAGATCTTTTCAATACCAGAAGCTATCACATTTTCAGGTGGGACGTTCGTTAGTTACAGTTTGAATAAGAATAAGGTGATAATTTGAGTGCTAAGATAAGACTGTAACAGTAAATAAATCTGATACATAAACGCATTTCCTTTGCCCATTGGTATATCTTATCTTTATTATGACGGAATAGAAACCTAAGTTATTTAAGATTAGAACTCTTTTGCCTCCTACCTTTCACCTAATGTCATTCTGGCCCGACAATATAGAAGCCTGGTTCCGTTACGCAGGATGAGCATGGTATGACAGACACACGTACACAACTCCTCAAAGTAGTGAAGGCACTCTCGAGTGATTTCAACAGTTACATCACACCTAGTATGTTTATTAGTGATGTTTCAGTACCTTACGAAACTTTTAAAAAGGTTACTTTTTAACGTGAAAAACTAACCGACTGACAATGGTTGGACAGCCTTCTCTACATCGAGCTGTAATATGGCTCAGTAACAGAAATGTTGCTGCGTATGTAAGAGCTTATTGCTCAAAGAACCTTTGATGTGGGCCTAATCAGACAGCTCTTCCTGTCTAAGCTTTGGCAGTGTGTGCAAACAGTCATTGTCTTATTTCAAAACAACTCTGTATACGGACAGGTTGCATCCACTGATTAGATTATTGAGATCACCAGAACCCCAAATACCGAGGGTTACTCTATCAAAGAGAAGCCCCAAACAACACAAAATGATAGTAGAGATACCTTCAATACTCTCATTCTTTATCTTTATATTCATCATAATCGTAGATGCTCTCCAACTCCTCGAATAGGCTCTTTGCGAAGATCTGTCTCCAGACCACGGAGGGCAGATAATCCTGACTGGTGTTGGTACCGCGATAAGTATGGTACGTCCTTTGGAAATTGTATGAAACTCTTCAGATTCCCGATCTTCAAACAGTCCGACACAAAGAACTCTACTCGAAACTTCCCAGCCGTCACACGTGAACGGCAACTGTAGCGGCGGACACAGCGGTCTGTTGAACATCGTCCATGCGATGACGAAAGTTCACCATCTCTTTGATACTGACTCAGAAGTAAGCGTTCTTCCCGCAAAATCTAACAACCTTTCGCATGAACCGGTCTTCTTCTTCGAGGTGGCCCCGTACGGTAGGTGATATTTTTAACTTAACATGTGCTTAAGCAAACCCATTCACTGGATTTCCGTTGTTTCAGATGTTTGTATGTCAATCATTGGCATAGACCTGGCACAAAACTATAATTTGCTCATTGACACACGCAAACGGAAGTCTCGGTTTGGAAAGGACAGGAGGCTTGATGGCCAGAAAATGATAGTCTCTCAGTTGATCCAACTTTCTTTTGAAAGAGTCGACGGAGTGAGATGCGATTAAGTGTTGAGGTAATGAACTCCACTCGCTGATGATTCGATGGGAACGTCGATAGTCAGCTAACATGTGATTTGTTCCGGACTTGTAAACGTTTTTGGATTGTCCTCGGAAACTCCATGTTTCGGAAGACAAGAAAAGTGCAAATTTATCACTAATTAATTTAAAAACTGTAATCAAGTCAACCCTAGTTCTTCGGTATGACAATGGGGATAGGTTATGTTTAGTCAGTCGAACATCATACGGGAACTTCGCTATTCCGGGAACCACCTTAGATGGTGTTCTCTGAATCTTTTCCAGATGCTCATTGTCTTTTCTAAGCGGGGGCTAGCCGCTTTTTACTCAATACTCAAGTTTAGGACGCGCAAACACTGTATACATAAGCAAAAAGGTTTTAGCTTCTTCATGACTAAAGGCCCTACGTATTGACCGTAGAGTTCTAAAACTTTTGGCAACCATTGCACGGCAGTGTGCAGTAGTTTTCAGGTATTGGCTAACGATGACTCCTAAGTCACGTCTGTACGTAACTTTAGGAGAGCACCAGCTTTCAAGAGCCACTAATAAGTTAGTGAGACAAGATACGTTAACAGCTCCTTCCGAATAATCTTCCCTAAAATTTTAACAACCATGCTGGTTAGGCTAACGAGTCGATAGTTCTCAGGTTTATGTTTCGTACCTGTTTTGAAGACAGGACGTACTATGGTGTTCTTCCAATGTTTTAGTAATCGCCCCAGGGTTACGGATAGATAAAAACATGTAATCGAGGGTTTCGCAACGAAGTTAACTAGTTCCTTTAGCAAACTCGAACCCAGTTCATCGGGTCCTGTGGATTTAATTATATCGAGTTTATTTAGCAAACCAAAGACATCGAGTTTTTTAATGATCATATTGTTTAGTTTATGTGTGTGAGAGATTTGTATGAACTGACGGGAAGGGTGTAAACATGGCTAAAGTATTTTGAGAATACTTAAGCTTTACCATAGTTGTCCTCCACTAATGTTGAAGGGTTACTGTCTCCCCATAATAGTGGAGTATTTCCTCTTCTTTTAGTCCTTTGGTTTATGTACGAATACAAGCGTTCAAGGCATTCTATAGATTTCTTAACAACTTTTTTCAGACTCGCGGAGGGTCGAGGCACAAGTATATCGAGTTTCTCGGTATTGAGATTTTGTCGCATCAGTCCCCAGTAACCTGAATCTTTCTCAAATTTTTCTCCTCTTACGGAGAAGGGTGCGGACTTTCCTACTGAACCATGGTGGAGAGTTTCTCGCCCCCCTTGGTATAGTCCAAGTGGTGTGGGGTGCAGTAAACTTTAAGTACAAATTTCGAAATAAATCTCAAGCTGTTTCAGATGGGGACTCTGGCTCTATTGTCTAATCTACTGACGATGCTGAATGTATATGTATGTATATGCATGTATCATGTATATTCGCTTTCCAGTTGTTAGGTATAGGTTGAACTGACGCGTACTCGTTTTTGACAACCATATGGAAGTCAAAGATTAGAGTTGGATGATCATTTTTACCTAAGGTTGGCATAAAATCGAGGTTCGTGACATCACCCTCACATTGGGTCAATATAAGTTCTAGTGAGGATGATTCAGAGTCCCGGTTGTATCTAGTCTCTTCCCTCACATGTTGTTCTAGGGCACATGTGATAACCGCATCAACTAGTTCCTGCTCCAGGAAATTTTCTGACAATTCAGTTCTCAGATTACTCCAGCCTACCATGGGTGTAATAAAGTCTTCCAGGATTAGACATCGACCATCTCATGACCAAGTATTGAGACTCTCTAGCAATACCTCATTTACCTCACATCTTTTCCAGATGCTCATTGTCTTTTCTAAGCGGGGGCTAGCCGCTTTTTACTCAATACTCAAGTTTAGGACGCGCAAACACTGTATACATAAGCAAAAAGGTTTTAGCTTCTTCATGACTAAAGGCCCTACGTATTGACCGTAGAGTTCTAAAACTTTTGGCAACCATTGCACGGCAGTGTGCAGTAGTTTTCAGGTATTGGCTAACGATGACTCCTAAGTCACGTCTGTACGTAACTTTAGGAGAGCACCAGCTTTCAAGAGCCACTAATAAGTTAGTGAGACAAGATACGTTAACAGCTCCTTCCGAATAATCTTCCCTAAAATTTTAACAACCATGCTGGTTAGGCTAACGAGTCGATAGTTCTCAGGTTTATGTTTCGTACCTGTTTTGAAGACAGGACGTACTATGGTGTTCTTCCAATGTTTTAGTAATCGCCCCAGGGTTACGGATAGATAAAAACATGTAATCGAGGGTTTCGCAACGAAGTTAACTAGTTCCTTTAGCAAACTCGAACCCAGTTCATCGGGTCCTGTGGATTTAATTATATCGAGTTTATTTAGCAAACCAAAGACATCGAGTTTTTTAATGATCATATTGTTTAGTTTATGTGTGTGAGAGATTTGTATGAACTGACGGGAAGGGTGTAAACATGGCTAAAGTATTTTGAGAATACTTAAGCTTTACCATAGTTGTCCTCCACTAATGTTGAAGGGTTACTGTCTCCCCATAATAGTGGAGTATTTCCTCTTCTTTTAGTCCTTTGGTTTATGTACGAATACAAGCGTTCAAGGCATTCTATAGATTTCTTAACAACTTTTTTCAGACTCGCGGAGGGTCGAGGCACAAGTATATCGAGTTTCTCGGTATTGAGATTTTGTCGCATCAGTCCCCAGTAACCTGAATCTTTCTCAAATTTTTCTCCTCTTACGGAGAAGGGTGCGGACTTTCCTACTGAACCATGGTGGAGAGTTTCTCGCCCCCCTTGGTATAGTCCAAGTGGTGTGGGGTGCAGTAAACTTTAAGTACAAATTTCGAAATAAATCTCAAGCTGTTTCAGATGGGGACTCTGGCTCTATTGTCTAATCTACTGACGATGCTGAATGTATATGTATGTATATGCATGTATCATGTATATTCGCTTTCCAGTTGTTAGGTATAGGTTGAACTGACGCGTACTCGTTTTTGACAACCATATGGAAGTCAAAGATTAGAGTTGGATGATCATTTTTACCTAAGGTTGGCATAAAATTGAGGTTCGTGACATCACCCTCACATTGGGTCAATATAAGTTCTAGTGAGGATGATTCAGAGTCCCGGTTGTATCTAGTCTCTTCCCTCACATGTTGTTCTAGGGCACATGTGATAACCGCATCAACTAGTTCCTGCTCCAGGAAATTTTCTGACAATTCAGTTCTCAGATTACTCCAGCCTACCATGGGTGTAATAAAGTCTTCCAGGATTAGACATCGACCATCTCATGACCAAGTATTGAGACTCTCTAGCAATACCTCATTTACCTCACATCTTTTC